TTTAAGTGTTAATTTTTTTACTATTTCTTCAAAGGATGAAAAGATGGAAGAAATATGGAACCCCACTTGTGGCAGAATATCTTCTACGTACGTATCCTTAAGATTCATTGAAATTCACTGTTTTATTTTCATGGTTTTTACATCTACTGTTTACAACAATTAGAGGCCACACCTTTCACTATCACTAAGTTGTGAACATTAGATACAATTAAGAAGAAACACGTGAATGTTAAACATGGAGCTTTAAAACAAGGCATTAGATTTTGTTCTACAGTACAGAAATCATTGCCAGTTAATGTTGCAGATGCTCTCTGTGAGACCCGTGACATTAATGAGGTTAATTTCTTCGTGTTAGAGAAAGCACGAATATTCCTCAGAATGAAGTCCTGGTAGCAATGATACTGCGTAATAATTAGGAATCAAACGAAGATCCTGTTACCAAGCATCAACTTCGTGTACAAATTAATGCATCAACAATTTTGGTATGAAGATGACAGAATGTATAATAAGTAACAGTAGCTTGTGATGGGTATCTGTTAGGGGCTATTTTGAAAAATTTTCATGAATGGGATTGAGTAATGTACGAGAATATAACATTATTTTTAATTTAAAATCTCAGTTAAGTTATACATTACTCAACTTTTTTTTTTTTTTTCTATTTTTAATTCAGATTTAGATTCTCAACTGTTTATTATGAACCCTCATTGAGTCGAGATACCTATTAGAACCCTCATTGAGTCGAGATACCTATTAGCCCTTATGAACCTCAAAATCAAATTCATCAAACTTTTAATAGAAAAATAGAAAAAAAAAGATTTGACACAACAGCATGAGAGGAGTTCAATACACTGAACCACTCTACTGTAAAATTACCCATTCTAAACACTAGTTCGAAAAGAACTTGGAGGAGAAAAATAGTTTTGAACATTAAAAAATGACATTTATTCATATATATATATATATATATATATATATTTAATTTGAATAATATAATATTTTTAAATGATTAAGAAATGTTTATAAAAATAGTGAAATTTATTTTCTTTCCTTAGTATGTTCTTTAATTTTAGAAAATATAAAATTTAATAAACATGTTTTTTTTTTAGAAAATATAATAATCACCTGTTCTTATGTAAATATATTTTATGGTTGTATTTTAGGTAAATATATATTTAACTTATAATTAGTCTTTTAAATATATGTATGATATTATTAATTATTTAATTAATTTTTTATTATTACGGTTTATATATTATATTTATTTTAAGTCAGTAAATAAAATTGAGTGAAAAAAATATTCTTTTATAATTAATTATAAATTAAATATATGTTAACCTGTGTTAATATTAAAGCTATTATTATCAATCACTTATATTATTATTATAATTATTGTAAAAATTAATAATTTTGGATCTTGTAAATTTATATATATCATTTTTCAGAAATACAGGCAGATGTGAATCACATGATGCACGAAATCGTGTAGGCTTGTTGTATGAAAACTAACAAAAAGAGAATCCTAGTCAATTATCAATATCTGGATGCAATGATTCAAATTGGAAACAAAATAAGCATAAATATATGCAGACTTAATATTATATATAATCCAATAATACTTACATTTAAAGCAAAAAACTGAAAAAAATGTTAAGAGGACTTGAGTATTTGAAATCTGAAAAAGAAAAAATGTAATGAAAATAAAGGCAAGTACTTGATTATAGGAATGCATGAGATGGAGGAGAATGAGAATAAGAGGGGAAGATGATGATGATGATATATATATGAATGAGCAACCATAATGAATGACCAATTATAAATGGCATGCATGAGTGATGAGTATGACAACCAAACCCTGATATACAAAACTTTTATAAATGTAGGTAGGCTGGGTTTAGGTTTAGGTTTAGGTTTAGGTTAAGGCTTAGGTTAGGTTTGAGGAGGATATATGCCATGAAATGAAAAACAAGCACACCACTACACTTACTATAATGCCATGAATTCAATCATGAGTTTAATCTCTCTTCACTGCTATTAATATCACTTCAAATCAAACATATCATTAAACATTCCAATAGAATAAAACTCTCATGGATTATTTATCATTTTAAAAAAGTACTGAGTAATTAAACTTGAATCTTATTATCTATGCAGATTTATATATGGGATAGATATTTATAATTATCAATTATGATTAAGTTCTTACTTGATATATATTTTTCCGTACATATTGTCGGAGATCTTATATTTTTTACTAATGATAAAATCAAAATATATAATGTACAGAGGTTAATTTAAAATCAAACACACACGTATTAAATTTTTTTTATAGGGTAGTTGATCTATGAGATAAGTCGTTATTGATTCCTTATGAAGAAATTGTTTAAAAAATATGTATAATTTTACAAACTTTATATTTGAGATGTTTAACTCTTAATTTACGAATTCATTTTAGAATATCACATTTACTAGTAATATAATTAACATTGTGTATATAGGTAAGAAATATTTAATACAAATAAACTGATTTTTAAGATTAATTACACAAAAATCTAAATGTTGACACACATACATACGAAGGATTTTTATTATAACACTTCCTTCAGTGTGATTTTTTTCTTGGTAAATATATATACCATCAACCTTAAAAGGAAAATACATTCGAAATGATTATTTGATCATCATGTAACTTGATTATAATTTTGATCATCAATATAGTTGTTGAGTTTTAATTCTAAATTTGGCACAAGTGTCACCTTTTTATATAGATAGAACGTGATCAATAAGACAAGATGTTTCTCTTAATTGAGTTACTTTTTTCGATAACTTTGTGTACATATTAAATTTTAGTAATCTAACTTAAAAGCTCTTATTGACTAGATTAATCTTATAAGTTCTATTAAATTTTAAACTATTTTAATATTTATCATATAAATTTAATTTAACATGTAATTAATATATATTTTTAAAAGCATAAGTAAATATTACCTTTAATTTACATAATTACACATCTTCAATTTAGATAATTTAAATTTTGTTTCGCTTGATAATTCAGTTATCAAAACAATAACGATTGAAGTAATAAAATTTAATATATAAAAATATTATTAATGAGGTAACATTGCTTATCGACACATTGAATTGATCTAAAATGTTGTTGATTGTTAAGTTTATATATATATATATATATATATATATATATATATATATATATATATATATATATATATATATATATATATATATATATATATGAAATGAGATCAATTTATATATTTGTTATTTATTTTTTATAAAGACTACATTGAAAGCCTGTTTTGCATAACAAAGAAATTGAAAATAAATGTCATGCACTGAAACTAATTTTCTCACCAAGCCTGTATATATCATGCTTCAGTCATAAAAGCTATAACTTGCTTCCAGAGCTAACCCACTTCTACCTTTAAGCAGTATGGTTTTACTTTATTTCTTAAAAATTCTTAAAAGAAAATTAAAATTTCTCAGCTTCCTGAATTTTTTTTTTAAAATAGCTACTTTCAAAACATGTATATATGTGCAGCTTCTCAACACATAATATCACTTGAAAAAATTATGAGGATTATTTTATCAGGTTGGATAACAGAAGATTTTTGAAAGTATATATATATGTGCAATGGGCATTCAATGAATTACCTTTAAATTATTATAACTGATTATATTCTACTCTCAATGGTATATAGGCATTTGGGTTTCATATTCTCATCAAATCTAATTAATATTAATACTGAATAGAAGACAGAGTTGGGTTATGATGTATGAAAGCAGAAAGAAAAGAAACAGAGTATTGTTGTTGCAGCAATAATTGCTGAGCATCGTTCATACTCAACTATTATCCAAAAGAAGACCATTAACACATTAGGAAGATCTGATGGAGGGCCACACTCATTATTTTAGAGCAATAATGTCACCTGTGATGTGAGCCACCTAATGAAACCACATATTTGTGATTCATTATATTTTCCAACTTTTTTTCATTCCTCTCTTGCTCATGATATTCGATACCTAGAGCAATGCCTAAAGGTGCCACAAGATGGAACCGTAGGGGGACCATGACAGCACTTGGCCACTTACAAACTATATATCAAACAATATAGTCAACCAAAGATGCATTTCTTTTGGATCTCCCTGCATATGCTTAATCAATTTATCCTATATTTCTGTCAGAAACAAAACATAGGAGACGTAAAATTTGCAATTTGACAATCAGAGTCTGACTAAAGAAGATATAATTATGTTTTCTGTTCCAACATACAATCACGCTTCTAAACTTTTATAAAGTAAAAACAATTATCAGTCACGTACCGTTCCCACCACCATTATCATGTATACAAATTAAATAAATTTTTTTGAGATCTGTAAATATACAAATTTCCACTTATCTTTTAGAAATTATTAATTTTGATCTTTAAAAATAATCTCTATACCGTTAGTTAGTAATGACGACATTCACATAAATGTCACATCAATAACGACTTTGATTTGACTTATAACTTGTGTATAGATGTATGTTCTTATTACCTCATCAATAAATAGTAATAGGGATTACTCAGAACTTATATGGATCAAAACTAATAAAAATTTGAAGGATTAAAACTAAAATTAGTCATATTTATAAAAAGTAAAAATTAGAGCCTCCGGCAAGGATTGGACATAAACATTTTGCATGGACAGCTAGCCTGCAATTTCTAGAGATGTAATTTTCTTAAATATTTTCATCGACTATAATCATTTACATTTGCAAGTTATACAACTCTACACAGTCAAACCTCTTGACTGGCTCAGTTTTATGAGCATTACTTGTATAGAGGTTGTGCTCCGTCTCTACCAAAGGCAGGAACGTTTTACAGTATCCAAGACGAGTCCTAGGAGCACCAAGAGTATTGACGAAAGGCCAAATTAGTTACAAGACGAGAAATAAGCCCTTGCCTACCAGTATACAAATGAGATACCACAAGTATGAATTCTCATATGGACAATGGCAGTCTTCGTTCCCTGTTCCTTGCCAATGTCTGCCTAGTCAGTCTTAGCCGGGCAGGAAGAAATATATTGAAGCATATGACAACCCCAAAGAGCCAAAAGTGCCTCAAATAAAGGGTCACGAGGGATGACACGACAAGCATGGAGAACAGTAAAGCAAAACCAATCGCCACTGCAACATCACCCCTGCATCAAGGCAAGAAAAATGTCAATTATTGGAGCATGAATGACATTCCATTATTTTTATATGAATTTTAGAAGGTAATCTGATAAAAAAGGATACCAGGACCTAGATCCAAATTCTAACTGTAGAAGACTGCTAAGTCCAAGTTTCTCTATTAGAATGATACGACCCATACTTGGACCGTGTCAGCGGCGCATACTATGGTGCCCCAAACACATCAAAACACAAAATAAAGAAACAGGAGGCCTACCAAAAATCTAACAGTCTCCCTTCAAGATAGGACAACCCATATACCGACCGAGTCAATAGTGAAACCATACAACTGTATATACACACATAAATTAAACTTAAACAATCTTGTGTAAGGCCACATATTCAGGTCTTGGACATAAAGATATATATAAATAATTTATCTAGGAATCATGTAGTTCCTACATACCAATCATTATAGTTTCTCAAAACATCATGATTTCATCATTAACATATAGTAGTATCATCTACATCTCAAAAAAAAAAAAAAAATTATTCTCTATCCCTACCCCAATAGCTGCAATATATTGCAGTGACCTTTCAAAATACTCTCCATCACATGTAATGGAGGCCTACCAAAATGATGAACAAACTCCTGGCTAAACTGGCCAATCCCAGGGAGCCTGCCACTAAACAACTTGTGAATCTGGAGGAAAAACTGAAAGAATGGAATATGTCACAAGGATTTAGTGTGAGCAAAATAAACAAAGTTGACATGAAAGAGAAAACAAACATAGCACAAGTTTTATATTTAAAGTAAGGATTATAAAAGAAAACGGCAATGTAACATAACCTACTTTGTGAAATATATATATATATATATATATATATATACACACACACACACACACACATACATTCGCATTCTTGAACACTCATTACAAAAGCAATTAACATCATAATCAACAATAATAATAACAAATATCCCATGAATCTTCATTTCACATAATAAGGTTTAGGGTTTTAAGAAACCCATAAAAAAATTCACATTTGCAACACCCCACACATAACATATTACTAATCTATTTCATAGAATAATTTCTACAGATTTATAGGTTATCCAACTAGGGACTTTTTAAGGATGGTTAATGTTCATTTTAAATCAAATGAAGAGTGCAAGAAGTTTGTAAGGTTCAATATGATAGAAGGTGGATCAAGGAGAATGGGAAAAAGATATGAGAATGGGATGCGAGCATGTTACAAAGGGAGAGAAGGAGGTGTGTGGCGGAATGGAGGGGTGTTTTTTTTTTTTTCATTAAAAGTGGTGTTTCGGAAAAAATTGATGCATTTTTTTATTCCCTTTGTATAACTTTATTTCCTTAACTTGGTGAGATAAATTCTACAAATATCATATGTAATCTCTATGTAAATAGAGGTCAAAAATACAAATCAGATTTCTTTCTGTCTTTCCAGTATATCTTTAAACACATCATAATAAGGATTATAATAGTTGGGAAATCTAAATGTGAGTCCAAGTCCCACATTGAGTAAGAATGAGGAAGTTGAGCAATATATAAGGAGAAAAAACTCATAACCTAATGTTTTAAGGTATTGGGTTGAAGGGGGTGTCATATTTTCTTATATGATTGGTTCGTATCATTGTCGAGAATCTACGTGTTATTAGTCCCCCTTCAAAGACACAACAGTGATGCCTAATTTCCATGTTCTACTAAGTGTTAATATTCCTTTGATCGAAGAAATTCTCCATTAACTTTGCCCAATGATCATAATGCCCATCAAATTTCGGAATTGCAAGCTATATGTATTTAATGGATTCTGTCATTTCTCAAGGTTTTGTCTAAACACTCACATGTGTTACACTCACTCTCACCCGGTTTCTGGTGCAGACCCCCCCAAGGTGTTTCACTCACTCTCACTCAGTTGTTCTGGTCAAGGCCCGTGTGAAGGAGCTCTAATGCCAAATTGTGAACATAATAAAATAAGATATTTACCAATTTCTGTACCAATAGTATGATTCAAACTGAAAAATTAATTATATTTGTATAGGAAATGTGAGAATAAAAAAAAACTGTCCCACCTCCACGCAATGGGTGGTTTCCTAACTAAGTCATGAGCTAAATCTTAGCTCTCACTACCTAAAGAATAGATCAACATCATCCGCATCATACTTTCAATGGTTGTGTATAAACCTAGACACCATACCCAGGAAGCCTTATGTACTTGACTACAACCAAACTAGACTTGATGTATGGAGTTAGCTTAATTAGTAGATTTATGGCCAATCCTACAGAGATGCACTGGTCTACAGCAAAAAAAATTTTGAGGTACCTAAAAGGGACTTCTGAATTCAGGATATTCTACAGGAAAGGGGAAAACACAAAAATATTTGCTTATACATACAGTGATTTTGGTGGAGAGATAGACGACAGGAAGAGCAAATATGGATTTGTGTTTTCATTAGGGATTCGAGCAGTTTCATGGTCTTCTAAGAAGACGCTAGTGGTAACATTGTCTACATCAGAAGCAAAGTCGTTGCATTATGTGTATGTCAATGTACCTAGATTAAAAGAATATTGGAGAGTTTTGGTTTCAAAGAACAAAAAAAATATTCTAGTTTTATGTGTCAGTAATTCAACTATTTAGTTGTATGAAAATCCAGTATTTCATAGAAGGTGTAAACATATTAATGTTAGATTTGATTTCTTAAGAGATCTTGTCAAAGATGGAAGCATCAAGCTGAGTTATTGCCACACTCATAATCAATTGGCTGACATAATAGGTCAGTTGTTGACCTATTCTTTAAGGAGTGAGAGCTAACATTTAGTTCATGACTTAGTTAGGAAACCACCCACAATTTGCGTGGAGGTGGGACAGTTTTTTTTTTTATTCTCGCATTTACTATACAGATACAATTCATTTTTCATATTGAATCATACTACTGGTACAAAAATTCAGAAATATCTTACCTGATTGAGTTCACAATAACATTGTAATATTATCATTGACAAATCAAACAATATACTATTGAATAAAATATTGTATGACCAAGATATTAATCAAGGAAATCATTTTGCATCCTAAGATTACACAATACAAATAAACTAATTAGGTCTCAATTTCACAAACTAACATAAATGCAAAGGATAACCAATAGTAGCATCTAAATTAATTTGATCCATGATCACTTTAATGCATTATCATCCACAATATAGGAGCATTTGGAAGAGGTTTTGCAAAACCTATTTGGATATAGCATATAAATTTGTAATATGAAAATTGAAGGGGTTTGGTTGAACAGTGACTTATGACCTTTTTACAAGTCAACTTATTTCAAAAAGCTTCAGTTAGGCTTATCAAAATATGCTTATTGAATCAAGCAATTATGACAATCTCTATTCTGCAGAACACTTATTTTCATTAAGTTCATAATCAAACATAGCCATAACTCATTTTCAGATCCACCCAATCTATTTATACAATTGCCAAGATTTCCGGCTCCAATACTGTATACATGTACAATAATCTTCACTTGATAAAGTAGTCTGAATTTCTGCAAAAGTAATGTGCCTTAACTAGGACAAAAAGGGACTTAATATGTGATTTATGTTTTATATATGCTACAAGATTCAGTAGCCCTTCATTAAAAGAATATCCATGTCTATGTTCTAACATATCTTGAAATATTATATCAGAGTTGACCCACTCTCCCCCAATTCGGCCTGAATTGAGATGAAATTCAACTTTTTTTAATAAGAATGGCAATGATACAACTCTTAACTATTTTGTCATAGAAACTCTGATACCATGTCAAGACCAACACTGAGATACTTAATAAAGCATGGGTACGACCATACAATGCAGCACCCCAAGAGTACAAATTCTTAAAACTCCAATACATGATACAGCCAAGATATGTTAACATGAAGTTAAAAACAAAATTCACATAAATGCAAAATATTTAATAATTTATCATTAATACATAATTATACCAGTGGACAAATATCAAAATTTTTAAAACAAAAGTTCTGATCATAACAAAAACCATAATTACATATATTTCCCTTGCTCATCTCAAAGTATATTCTTCCCCCAACCAACCCATGTCAAAATGTCATAAAAGTATCATTAGTCATATTCAAAAGAAGTCGGTTCAATACGATTACCATAATATTTACAATAGCTTCAAAGATACAAAGAAGTCATCATTAGTCCTATTCCAAGTAACTGATAATGCAATTAAATAAGAATACAAAATAATGGACGATACTCCATATGTAATAAGGTGTCTCATCTCATGCGTATTCGATATGACCATCACACAGATATTTTGCCAATTGTGGAGTATTTGGACTTTAGAGGGGTTAAACAAAATTCCATATCTAACAGTTAGCATTGAAGAAGAAAAAAAATAAATTATAGTATTTAATGAAAGAGGAAGATAGGTGAACATCAATGCTACTACAGAGTAAGGTTATCATATATGCCTCAAGGTTTTTAACTTTGCCACCATGTCAATTTTCAACAAACTATCATTTTCTCATCTTAAAAAAAGGAAAAATATCTTGCATCCACTTCCCAAATTTTCTAGGCCCATCACTCGGAGGGCTAGCTATCGGGTTGACATCACTTAAATATTATATACAGGTTATATTGTCACTCTAAACCAAACTGCAAGTTCTTTATACCCATCATGTCCAAATTGGAGACGGGATAGCATTCCATTATAATCTCATCTAACTTAACAAACTCAAGCCACGACCGGTATTCAACTGATCAAACGAAAGTATGCATCACCTCTAAGCCTAAATCCACAAACACTCAATAAAATATTTTAGTATTCAAGATGCAATTTTTACCAGGAGAAAATTGCCAACCCCTCCTAACAAGGAGAAAATTGCAAACCTTCCTCAAAACACCCAACTACCCAAGTCTCCATTACACCCTGTGGAGCAGCGGTGAAAATCACTAAAATCAACTCCTCGTATTTAAAGTATTCTCACTTGAGAACAACACGGTGTTTCTCCGATCAATGTTATATCCTTCAATATATCGAAGCAAAAGAGAATTCCAGAATCCGCAATACAAGGTACCCAATTCAAACTCCTTTTTAATTTTTTAATTTTTTTTTCATTTTACCAGTTTTGCAACAAATTTGCAGTTAATGTAAATACCAATAAGACACAGTGAAGCACTTCTAATAACAATTAGTATGTATCATAGTCAACTGAAATTGACAAGTGAAAGAACACGATGCAATTCTTCTTGCGCACACCAGGAGCTAGTTAACACATACCTATCTAGCTAAACGACGGCATAAAATGTAATTTATGAAGTTAAAAGGGCAAAAGGATAAAAACAAAAAAGGTTTACCGAGTTTGAATGTGGGGTTTGGGCGAGAACAAAGTAAGAGCAGAGTGGTTGCGCTTGTATCGAATATGGTAATCTCGGAGCTGCTCCACAAATTTAGAGTGGCTTATCATTTTCACCTCCACAAACTCAGCAACCTTATGTTACTCTTCGCTGCAAACATAAAACCTATTCGCCCTTCGCCAATTTACGACACCACTACGGTGTTCTTCTGGTTTTAGGTTTAGGTTTTGCCAATTGTTTTATTCTATTGATGAAATTAAAATATTTAATTTCTTAATTGAAAATTTGAAGACTTCACTAACATTCTTTTAAATATTTTTATTACGAGTAATTTATACTCTAGTATTTAAGGTCACAAAATTTTAAAAATAGTTTTTTTAAGTAAAAAAACATTTAATAATTATTCTGTTAATACAGAATTTAATTTAATTTTTAAAATTTAAAATTTAAAAATATTTATTAAAATATATTTTATATATTATTATTATTGTTAAGTTATCAAAATTAATATTTATTTTCTTATTATGATTTTATATCATTCATTTGTCTTGTTTTTTCATTTAAATTATAATTATTAAAAACTTTGTTTAAATTATTCTTAATTTTTTTAAAATTAAATAGAATTTTTTTTCAATATTATTTTTAAAATTTGTAATTACAATATTGAAATTGTTTTGTAAAATCTGTTCGGCTCCAATTTCTTTTAGAAAATATGATTAATTCCTATATATCAGTTAAACTTAATAAAAATCCTTATATTTTATATGCTAGTAAGTTTGATTTAGTTTTTATGAATACTAAATCATATTTTTTAAGTTAAAAAGATTACATGTACATATATTTTTAAATTTGAAGAATAAACTTATCCATAATAGAGAGAGAAAAAAATTAATAGCACATCTTTACTATTTAAGCTACCTATAAACTAAAATTGAGAGGCACTGTACAATGGAAGAAGAGAATATATTTCACTCACTCTTTAATTCCATTGACATGCTTATTTATCTTCCTAACAGAATTTGTGTGTTCAATAAAAAGAATAAAGTTATATAACAGTAGATCAGGAAAAAAGAGAGAGAGAGGAAGATAATAAGATCAAATAAAATAGAATGATAGATTTGTTAATTTGTTAAAGCAAATTATTGATAACTAGGATTATTTTAAAATATATTATCAATGATAAAATTATTATCGATATCTTTTATAGAGAGGGACAAATAGAATGAAATAAATATGTACTAAGTACAAAATCGGTCTTTAAAATTAAAGAAGTTAATATTAAAATAATATATATTACAAAATTATAAATTATTATTTAATTTTTAAAAATAAATTAAGATTAGGGAGATATCATATTTTTTGGAGATCCTTGTCTTTATCATTGTATATATAAACCATTCATTTCTATCAATTTTGTGTGTTAATAAAATTTTGGGATGATCAAAATATATTAGGTAAAATTATTATCACAATATAAAAGATACGGAGATTTAAAATAAACCTTAAAATCTTGCAAAAAGATAAGTTACCTATTTAATTTCACAAGTAATAGTGATTGTTAGTTCTATGTTTAGCTTCAAAGAGTTTTTAGATGCAGTATGTTATCTTTTTCTTTTTTAATGAAATGAGAGAATTACCAAGATAAATACTAAAATCTATAATTGATCTTCATGTTTCATGATAGATTCCTTAATCATTCTCATGATAAGTTTTAAGTTAGGGAATTGAACTTTTCAAATAAGACAAACCAAGATTTGGTGATCTCTCTATGTAACTTAGAATTATGAGTGCAGCATCGAAACAAGTCATGCCTTGAAGATGAATTAAGACCGTTGTTATAGGCAAATTAACCTTTCAACTAGTATTTTATATGAAAAACATTTGAAAATTCATTTAGATGAAAGATTTTAACATTGTGAACGAGTACAGTGGTTGGAAGGTGTGGGTTTCTAATAATAATTCTAAGGCTTTTTTTATTTATTTATATTATTCACTCCTTTCATTTCTAATTTCAGAAAATCTCTTAAATTTTTCACATCATTATATTAAAAGTGTTATTACATTATACTTGATATGATTGATTTATTTCTTATCATAACAAGTCCCAATAATATCATTTACACATATTATTATGCCTATAAAAAATCTTTCATAAGAATTGTTAAACAATGAATAATCATTCTGTAATTGAATATTATTAGGAGAACGAAGGAAAGAGGTTAATCAAACAAATAATTTCCTACCCGTTTGCTTGAATTCATATAATATCTTTTTTTAATCTATACATTTCTCCAAGTTGAATAGATCATAATCAAGGAAGAGAAATCATATAAATATCTTACTTTAATTCTTTGTGCAAAAAAACATTATTGAGGATGTCCTTTACCACCATGTCCTCCTCTTATATTTTTAACTAACTCTTGAATATTTTTACTCTTGATGGTTGGAAGTCGTGCAGTTAAACATTCCATGGAAGGAACTTATTGACCAATTAAGATTTGATCTTTGACATGATCAAAATCTAGATTCATGACTCCGAGAATCAGAACCATATAAAATTTATCTAGTTTACTCTTTATCTTTTCTATTGAATCTTTCTCAACAAAATCTTCAACTACTAATTGAACTTTAGAAATAAAGATATTATATTATTATCTACTTGTTATCGCACACCACAACAAAATGGTATAATAAAAAGAAAAAATAGACATTTGATTGAAACTGCTCGTACATTATTACTTGGTACAAATATGTTTGTTCATCATTGAGGATATGTTATCCTAATTGTTTGTTTTCTCATTAACAGAATGTCTTCTTCTTCCCTAGTTTTATTCTCCATTCTATTTCTAAAGGAGCCAATTTTTCATGTTTCTCCTTGCGTCTTTGATTGTGTATTTTTGTTTATGATATTTCTTTAGGTTTAGACAAACTCTCAGTTAGAGTTATCAAATATATCTTTTGAGAATATTCTCATCCTTTTAGAAAGAAAACTGTTGGTTGTCGATGGAGGTGTCAATATGGGTCTCAACCTGTGAGCTAACACGGCTCATCACGAGTATGAACCTTGGGTTGAAAATATTTTAAAAAAATTTAATAATGGGTGAAAGCGAGCTTGATTCACTTAACTCGTGTGTTAAATGAGTTTGAGTCGGGTTGGTGGTGGGTTGATACATTTTTCTCCATCTTTAATATTTTAATTTTTTTTCAATTCATATGTTAGTATAAATCCATGATGAATTTTTTTTTTAGTGAGTCAACCCACCTAACCCACTTATATTAGTAAGTCAACTTACATAACCCACTTATCTTAATAATTTAAAAAGATAATAAATAATTAAAAGAAGATAATATTTAAGTGGGTTAACCTACCTAACCCACCTACCTAGGGTGGGTCGAGCCAGAGTACAAAATTTATTGGCTCACCAAAAAATGAGTCTAGTTGAGCTGACTCATTTTTGACATAACTTGTGATGAATCAACCCATATGGGTGAAGTTAACTCACTTTAATACTTCTAGTTGTTGATGAGTCTATACCATTAAGGTTAGACCTAATGGTGAAGTTGACTGTCTCAAAGCTAGATTGGTGGCCAAAGGGTATACTTTCTCTCTTGTAACCAAATGACTATTGTGAGATTTTTCCTTGCTGTGACCGCCATTCGTCATTGACCTCTCCTTTAACTAGATATTAAGAATGTCTTCTTTCATGATGATCTAGAAGAGGAAGTCTACGTTAAACAATCTCTTGAGTTTGTTGCTTAAAAAGAGTTTATTGCTTAGAAGGAATTTGGTTTAATCTATAAGTTATGACGTTTTCTTTATGATCTAAAGCTATCATAACGTGCTTGATTTGGAAAATTTAATTCCATTGTTCAAATGTTTGGGCTGAAACAAAGTGAAGCAAATCATTCAGTCTTCTACTATCACACTGTCCCTCGAAAATGCGTTTACTTAATTGTATATATTGATAATATAATTATTACAAAAAATGATTATGTTAGAATATCTTAGTTAAAGGAATACTTATTCAGCCATTTTCGGACTAAAGATTTTTGAAGTCTTAAATACTTTTTGGGATTGAAGTAACCCAGTTAAAAGAAGATGTTGTAATCTCTAAAAAAAAAAAGTTCTAGATATCTTAAAAGAGATAAACATGATTGATTGTAAACCCGTGGATAGGCCTATGAACCCAAATAAAAAATTAATGGTAAAATAATGTGAAAATTTCCCTCATTTAGAGAGATACAAAAGACCAATTGGGAAACTTATTTATCCTACTATTACTAAATTTGATATATCTTTTGTAGTTTGTGTGGTTAGTCAGCTCATGCAGACCTCTTGTATTGATCATTGGAATGTTATCATGTATCCTAAGATATGTAAAAAAGGCTTCAGGACAAAGATTATTATATGAAGATAGAGGAAATATCCAAATATCTAGGTATTGTGATGTTAATTGGACAAACGCTTTACTACATGATATTGTATTTTTCTTGGAGGAAATGTTATTTCTTAGAAAAGTAAGAAAGAAAATGTAGTTGCTCGATCATTTGTTGAAACCAAATATATGGCAGTGAAATCTCTGATATGTGAACTTGTATGGGTAAAACAATTCCTTCAGGTGCTAAACTTTTGTGAGATTCAGGAAATGAAGATGTATGATTATAACTGAAAGAGATGAAGATCTTATTGAAATACTCTGGCAAAGATCCTGTTGATTTGATGAAGACAAAGATAAAGTCAAAGTCAACTTTGTAGCGGTCAACAGTCACTTAGATAAAAGAATAGAGGGATTAGTGTGTCCGCAGCTATGCTTAGGTATAATCATTTTTATCTTTTCTGCTGCATGAGGTTTCTTCACTTAAAAGATTTTGCAAAATGCCTCTAAAAACGTTTAAGCAGTTAAAAACAAAGTATTTTAACAAAAGCCTTCTTAAACAAGTTTTTAACTGATATAATTTTGAAATAACCGGTTGTTTTCATTAAAGAAAGTTTTGAAAACCTTCTGTCAATATTTTAACTGATAAAGCTTTGATATAACCGATTAAAATCACTTAAAATGTTAAGAGAAGTGTTTTTGCAGTATTTTAATCGATACAACTTGGTTTTAATCGATTAAATCCACTTAGTGTTCAGGATGATCGATCAGAATGCAATTATGACCGATCAGAATCAAATATGATAGATCAGAATTGAGTTATGACCGATCAGAACTTTTTCAGTCGATTAAAACACGTTTCAATCGATTAAAACAACTTAGAAAATTTCTACACAGCGTTTTAATCGATTAAAACTTATTTTTTATCAGTTAAAATCACTTGGAAAAACTCACAATAAAGTTTTGCAGTATATTAATCGATTGAAACACGAAACAATCGATTAAATCAAATTAGAAGATTTTTTGTAAAAAGTTTTAATTGATACAAACGTTGTCGTATCAGTTAAAACAAATCTGTTAAATAATCAAGAACGCTTTAATGGATTAAAAGAAGTTTTAACAGATTAAAACTACACTTTTAACAGATTAAAAGATTTTTTAACAGATTGATTAAACCAGCAGTTTTGAAAATCTTCTATAAAAATAGTTTGGCTTGAACATTTTAAAACACAACAATTGAACATCAATCTTTAACAATCAAGCAAGCAAACTTTAGCACTCTTTCAAGAAAGATTCGCACTAGTTTTTGTGAAGTTCAAAAGAAATCTTTCTTGAGGCAAAACTGCATTCTTTTGAGAAGAAACAACTTACTGCAGAATTGTATAAAACTGGTTTGAGCATTCTAGTTTCTTCTTTTCATTTCCTTTACATTCTTTTTGTATTTTTTGGTGCCTGGAATTGTGGGCACTGGTTTCTCTGCAGCTGGAATTTGGTTGTAGAGGTTGTCAAGAACTGGACTTTGGTTCTTGGTGAAAGGTTAGGTGTTGGTGCCTGGAATTGTGGGCACTAGTTTCTCTGCAGCTGGAATTTGGTTGTAGAGGTTGTCAAGAACTGGAATTTGGTTCTTGGTGAAAGGTTAGGTGCAGGAACTGGAATTGTGGTTCTTGTGGTAGATTAAGTGTAAGATTGTAATCTGTAAAACATTTGATCTAGTGGAACCCAACTGGAATTTGGCTGGAGACTGGACGTAGCCCTGGTATTGGGTGAACCAGTATAAACACCGGTGATATCTTTCTAAACCTTTCTCTTCTTTAATTTTGTTGCTGCGTTTATTTTTTGATTGCTTGCTTTGTGATTCAAGAACAGATCTGAAATCTTATTTTTACAAATAGATAATCTGTTAATTACGAAAATCTTTCAAAGATCAATTCACCCCCCCTCTTGATCTAAAACTACTTTCCTAACAATAACTAGACCACTCTACACATTGCTTCAAATCCAGTATTCTATGAGAGAACTAAACATATTGAAATTGACTGTCACTTTATTTGGAAAAAGTTGTTGTCTAAAGGGATCAAATAATAAACTTGCATATGCATTAACAAAATCCTTAAGAAGATCTCGTATCAAATTCATTTGTTCCTAAGTTTGGTACATACAACTTATATGTTTTAGTTTGATGAGGAGTACTAGACTTATTAGATATTAAATACACAATTGTATCTAGGTTTTAGAAGCATGTGTATTCATGAGTTGGATCTTGATCTGTATCTAGTTTTTAAAATATGTATTTTCATTTTCCCTTTACCCATTATATTTATGAACTTCCATTATAAATAAGAGAACTTAAGAGAGAGAAAGAGTTAAAACTCTCTAATTATATATTTTTCTTTTTTTTTATCTTTTAAATATTTGTATTATTTGAAGAGGTGCTAACAAAACCGAAAGACTCGAAAATCCTTAACAATGACAAGTTGGACTGGGTTTAATAAGGAAATTGGTGCCAAGACAAGTAATCTAGCACAAATGTGGGAAGTATGTATATATACGCAACATGTAACATAACATATAACCAATATATTTTTGGTAAATTACATCGTAATATGATATTTGTAACTACATTCAACAAGTGACTATGTTTTCTTTTTACTATGTTATTTTGTTAAGGGTTATGGACACAAAAAGTTTGGTGTAGAATTTGTCTATTAGTAAAATATTTAGTCATAAAAAATCTAGTGTTATTATCACTTCTAATGACCTTTGCATTTCTATTAACCTATGTTTTTTTTAAATTAACAAAATTTTGAATTATTTGTATGGTTTCTAATTTTTATTCTGAAGAAAAAAAATATAGGTGTACCTAGAATGATCTATCATGGTTAAGAAGTACTTGTATATATAAATATAAGGTATTGAGTATAATCCCTCAATATCAACATGTATAAGATCAAAATATTTGACAATTTTAAAAGCATAAAATTAAAACACAAGTCTTTTTGTTATGTATAATGATAGAGATCACAAACTTAGGATTTTTCATATTTAATATAAGGGAAACTATAACATCAATATATTTATTTGAAGTATGTTCTAATAAAAGTGCCAAAGGATCTTAAAATCAACAAAAGAAAAAATTAACCATATTTATAATGTGACAAGAAGGCTTTGAAGGTTTCTTGTAATTTAGGTAAAAAGACACTTTGAATATATAAAGGTTAACATTTATCTTAACTGAATTAATTATCTTTAATGAAATTTTGTCTTGAATGTGACCATGAGTGTAATCAAAGGTGAGATACAAGATAAAAATTTAATTAATCATGTTATTGACAAAAGATTAAAAGAGAAACAAGGAATATAGTAAACATTGTACGACATGTTAAAAAAAAAACACTATGAGAATAATTGGTTTACTTTGATTTCATTTAATAACTTAATAGGTGACATAAAAAATGTAATTTTATTATTGTTCTATTATGTACTCGTAAGCACTCACTTAAGAATTGACGTCAAAATTAATTAATATATATAATTTTTTGTCAATTCATTGAAACATCTTCTAAGGACAAAATTGTGATAGATTAAAGTTTTAAAAGAATACTTTTTTCTTAAACAAAACATAGGTTTCGAGTACACTAATAAATTTTATATTACTTAAGAATTAAAATAAAAAATAATTTATATACACCTTCCTCTCTCAATATACTCGAGACACTTCATAAAAACAAAATCATAAAAGATCATAATTTTAAAAATGGTATACTCATGAATTTCACATTGCTTAAAGTAGATAATACCTCAACCAAAACTACTCTTATTTTTTTTAGAGGTGTGTTACTTTTTCAATATCCATTAAAAGCATCATTGTAGTAATTGATGTTTTTGAATTTTCCTCTTCTAATAAATGCCAAGACTCTTGATTCACCAAAATTGTCTCTCTTCCTGAACAAGAGAAAAAAAACACGATTGAGTTAAAAGAAAATCTATAGGAAGGATTTGAGTCTATAACAGAGCGACTATCAGTTAATCCTCCAAGGAATATAATGACTTAATTTTCATTGTTGATTGAAGCAATACAAACGCATTTGATGGCACATGTGCAAGGTGATAAAGGGCAAAAAAACATTCAACTCATCCTACAGGATTTTCTGGTGAATAGTTTATTACAACTAATTCTCTTTACTTGAGGAAAGAAATCAAATCCTATAAATTTACAATTCTGAGCATATTTCTTTGAGAGAACCTCTCCTTGAGATCATTTCATATGACAAAGCCGATATCCATCCATCTGACACTCTAGTAGATAGTAGTGATAAAGATTTGTGAATCCAGGAAATTTTACTCTCATCAATAAAATCAAAACAAATTTTATTCTTGGATATGAAAGTCATTCAAACCAAATGAGAATATTGGTGATAGTTTTTCATTCAAGAATATTGGAAGTAATGGTAAGAGTTGGAGTTTCTGTAAGAGATGTAAAGGATAATATGGGGAAGAAATATCTTGAATGGGGTCATCCATTAGTAAATGTGGCCACCAAAGCTCTAATAACATACCAAAAACAAAAACCGAAAAAAAGTCAGACGTATTTAAGCTAGGTGGAAAAAGGATATTCATTAGAAAAATACGGTCCCTATATATACATCATCTTCTTAACAGAATTAGTGTGTCCAGGAAAAGGAAATAACATAAAGATTGTAAGGTCAACCATATTTTTAATAACTAGAACCTTTCTAAAAATCTATTATTGATATTAGCATCACTCTTCCACAACTTTTGTTTGATTTACAAATTTATAATTTCAAATTTATTTATTGTAATGACACTAAATGAGTGATGAAGATATTAATGTTGAAAATACACTCCATAATAATGCCATTTATAAATTATTCAATTAAATATATTTTTTAATCTCTGCTTCCATACAGTTAATAGCGCTTTGCAATTTGTAAATCATTCTAAATGAATTTCGGGGCGGATTTCACCAAATAATAAAGCCAAAAAAGAACCCAATTCATTTCATTCTAAATGAATTTCAAGACAAACCTAACCTTACCTAGAACATAATCAATTTCGCGCTACTGAACATGTTGAGTATTCAAATGGAACTCGCAAAAAGACATGGCCACAGAATAGGTTCATTTCTAAACATATAGCTCCGTTAAGAGTATCTAAAAAAAGGAATGCTCCAACACAGGACATTACCACCGTGACATATGAGACCATCTCAAAAAGTCATATCATCTCATACCACAAATAATGACGAGAAACTAGCTGTTCAGAGTAGAGAGCATGCCGCCACTCGTGTTTGGAATCACCACTTCCCACCCTGGTCCTTGAAGAGGAAACGTACTACATGGAGCTTTCAAGTTTCCATCTGCGTTGTTGACAATAAGATCACTGCGATCCAAGAGCTTCTCCAGGTCTTCATCACTAATTCCTGTACGTATCATTTTATCTTCGGCTGTTTCTTCGTCACGAAGCAATGCCAAAACATCTTCCTAAAGTACGATCATGCACAAATAACAAAAAGGAAAGTGTCAACAAATATATCCAATAATAAAATGCCAAATTTTCAACAGTCACGTCACTATATATTTCCAGTAAATTTTAGATTAAGCTAATCCATTTACCCTTAAGCAAATAGGGGTACAACACAAACTAGTTATAATGACCAGGCACGCAAATCACAATAAAGTATTGCTAATGTGTAAGCTGAGGTAGACAAGTTTTAATGCAAAAGATGAACGAGACTAATTAATCATTTAATGATCTGCATGTTGATCTGGTCCAGCAAACACAACAAATTTTTGGCCATGTAATGAAGATAGTGACAGCCAAAATGTTTCAACATCCAAGGCACACAGTTGACAGTAAATCCATTTCTACTTTTATCAAAACATGGGAGAAAATTTAAAAATAAAGTCATTGGAAAGCAATTGCTAAAATGCAAACCTCCACCAATTCATCCGTACTGACAGTTTTTGTGCGTTCTTGATGAAACTGTCCTTTACCAATCACTAAATGCTCAAGTTTCAATTTGCTGAAAGCTCTTTTCAACATGTGATCCTGTAAAATGGACTTTGTCATATCCATCGCAATATAATAAACAAGCCACTTGTCATACTTAAAATTGAGCCAATATGCAATATTCAAGTACCTCTATGGATTGAGCAGTTGAGAGCCTGTAGACATGAACAGGTTTTGTTTGACCGATTCTATGACACCTATCCATGGCTTGTAAATCCATCTGAGGATTCTGGAATTCAAAAAATGTGTATTATAAGTAAAACATTGTAAAGTAAATAGATAAAATGCAGAACAATGAAAATCTCAACAAGCACCCAGTCACTGTCATAAAGAATGCAAGTATCAGCTGCGGTGAGGTTGATTCCCAATCCCCCAGCCCGAGTAGAAAGAAGAAAGACTCTGCAATTGCTATTGGCATCATTGAATTCGTGGATCTATTCATGCAGAGAAGATTTACCAATGATTAGATAATAAGAACAATATTTGCAATGATAACACAGCATATTACAACAAACGGGCATGTTCAAGACAGGTTTAAAGTTTCATAATCAAAAGATTAACTACAAATATTATGCTAAATAAAATGGAAATGGCCAATAATGCTTCAGTTTTATTGGAATGATTGATGCACATAAACAACACATTAAGGTAGAGACAGACAGCAAAAGCCTGTCATTATGAATGGAAGATATCATGATCAACAGACAAATGTAAAAAACATTAATCTCCTGGTTATCTAGGATAATATGTAATCTTCGAAAATCAGCGTTTTTTGGCAAGTAGCATTTTGTTCAGAAGCTATTGTTTCTAGTTTCTAGCTTCCAAGAAAAGCGCAAACTTTTGTCATGAAATTTTCCTTTAATAAAAAAATTTATTTATGATAAAAGTTTTAAACATATTTTCATTACGGAAAGCAGTTTCAAATGAAAGCACAACCAAACAGTTCATTAAAATGACAAAACAGAGGTATAAATTGAAGAACCCCAAAGACTAAGCAATATAAAATATTCAAAGCCTAAAATAAAATACAATAACCAGAAAAAAAAATGAAAAGAAAATATCAGAAAAGTAACTTTCTGTTGTGTTATTCCAGCATTGGAACAAACCTGACGTTTCCTCTCATCCAGTCTCACAGAACCATCAATCCGGCAAACTTCAAAGCCTTTTTCAGAAAAATAATAATCCATTATGTCTAACACTTTAGTAAACTGACTGAAGACAAGAACCTGATAAAATTAGCAAATGCAACTTCGTCTAAGCAGCAGCTTAATATAACAAGGAAGTGGAAAAACATAGACAGGGCACTGTAAAGCATACTTTGTGATTCCTCGCAAATAAACGTTCCAGCAATCGATCAAGCAAATGGAATTTTCCACACTGTTCAACCATCTCATTTAATGGAGGATACAGAGCTGTCAAAAAAGAAAAACACAGCTTAAATAAAAATAATTGATCGTGACATCAGTAAAACCACTTAATTGCATGATACTTACATGTATCATCACAGGCTGAATCTAGAAGATCAGGATGGTTACACACCTTCCTAAGCTGAATAACCAAATTACGAATCAAATTTGCAGGAATAGAGCGTCCTGCAGTAAAGCAATAAAACACAGATATGTATTAACATACTGAGGGAGTTGCCAGAACACTTTGTTATCATAGCATGATAGCAAAAATTGGAACCAACTCTTACCACTGGACATCTTTTCTTTTAAATAGTTTCCCAACGTCTTATTAACTAAATGATCTTGCAAATTCTTCTGATGCTCAGTCATGTTTGCATAAATAATAATCTCCTTTTTCTGTGGCAACATAATCTCAACATCAGACTTCATCCTACGCAGAAGGAAGGGTCGAAGAATAGCATGAAGCTTTGCTACTACCTGCAGGTGAGTAGTTCATGTTTAACCTTACAATTCATATTATTATAGTGGTCATGCAGTACACAAACAAGTTTGGAGTGCATACTTGGGCTCTTCGTTTCTCTTCCAGTTCTTCCTTGGTTGCTCCATTATTGCACTTCGCTGACAGATTAAACCTACAAGGAATTTATTTGTATAGAGTAAACAAATGCATACATAAGGAGATGAGCAACATAACAAAGTTACAAGCAAGAACTGGTTTGAAAGAAAAACAGACTACGTAAAAACAGCCTTTGCATATTTAAATTTGATACAAGCGACCAAAAATAAGGGTAGGCGCAGGACAAGACATAGTCAAGGGAAAAGGAAATTGAAGTTGAGGAAACATCTAAAATAATGGTTGAAAAAAAATTCATGAACTACCTAACAATAAATCAAATAGGTAAAATTAATGAAAAACACAGGAATTGGCCCAAACTTTTTACCTTCAGCTTATGAGTTAGACTATATAAAAGCTTTGAATGGTTCAATTTAAAATACATCAAACATTATAGGGCATTAGATTTTCATCTACCTCTATTCAGAGTTGGCACATCATCAAACAAAAAGAAAATGATACTAACCATGACTCAAATTCTTCAAGGGATGCGAAGATATCAGGCAAAATGAAGTTCAATAGAGACCATAGTTCGGCCAGGTTATTCTGAAGAGGTGTTCCAGTTAGAAGAAGCTTGTTTTCAATATTTATGCATTTCAATTCCTTCACTAATTTGCATTTTGAGTTTTTGAGCCTGTGTCCCTTTCAAAGACCAAAAAATCTAGTTAGAACAACAGAAGCATACAGAGTTCTGACTAAAATATTGCTGACTCAATACATTGGACTAAACAGAAAACATTTTGCACATTCAAGTGAATTTATTTACCTCATCAACAACAATATATTTCCAATTGTATGGCCTGAAACATTTCCTAGCGTCATTTAATGCAATCTCGTAAGAAGTTATGACTATGGGAAATTTTGGGCCAATTGTTTTAGTAGGCATATGTTTCCTTCGGATCTCATCTCTCTGCTTCTTGTCACCATGGTAGATAATGGCAGGAAGCGATGGTGCAAACCTATATCAATTTATTCAAAATAACAGTTGATCAAAAACAAAAAGCATGTATAATAATAATTATGTAGCCAAAATCTTCAATAAATCACTTTCTTATCTACCTAGAAATCTCATTCACCCAGTTTGAGAGGGTTGATAGAGGAGCAATTATCATGTATGGCCCATCCAGACCTTTCGCTTTAAGATGTGAGAGAAATCCAATCGTTTGGATTGTCTTCCCAAGACCCATTTGATCAGCAAGAATCCCATTCAGACCATTTTGCCACAAGGAAATCAACCACTTTACACCCTTCAGTTGATAAGGCTTCAAATGTCCACCTGTCAGTAAAGGCATGAGCTCGTCCTGTTCCTTCTTAACTCTTTCTTCCTCTGTCATTTTCATATCTACAATCCCATCCCCTTCTTTAGATCTTGTCAGCATGGCAGCAACTGCTTTTTTGGCCTTCCTCTAAAGTAATTTCAACCACAACACACACTAATCATTAAAATACCTTAAACCAGATGCAAGCAAAGCAAATTAGTATAATATATTAAAAGAAAATGTGTCTGCTCATAAAACTTTGCTTAGAAAGAATGGGAGAGATCTGGTTGACACCAATGAACAAACATTATCTGATCAACTAATGTCAGTTTTACAACTGCTACATACATAGGACCAATGATAACAGTGACACGCCAGTTTGCGTGAAAACAATTTAGATGCACCAGAGCACAATGCACTCACAGTATTGTATTGGGAAGCAGCTTTTCTTTTGGATCCACGGCCCTTCTTTGCCGAAGGATTGCCCTCTAGCTCCTCCACTTTCTCTTGTTCACCCACAGTCTAGCAACAAGCATTCAAAGAATAAGAACAATGCACCAAGAACAACAAACCAACATGCATTAAAAGTTGTTACAGAAAAAGAGCATAAGAGAGAGTGTAAGAGTACAAGTGCGATGTCATCCATTTTCTCCAGCAAAAATTCAGAGTACAGTTTGGTCTGAGTCAAAAGCTCATCCAATTTGTTAAACTGCGTCTCGTTGAGGTCAAGTGCCTCCTCGCACCGCACCTCCTCTACCTTAATCCTAGCTTCAAGTAACTTCTCTTCCTCCTCCGCCATAGTTTTCGACACAAGAGACGGACCATCGTATTTAGCATCGGCAATAAATTCTTCCTCCGATTTAACTTCATCTTTGGTGACACAAACATCCTTTGCATTTGAAAAAAGTAGGAACAAAAATCAAACATCAAACAAAACCAACTTATACCAAATTCAAAATAAACCTCTACCAGCATAGCAAATTCAAAATATTATTTTTAATAAAATAATATTTTTTATAATATAATAAATTTATTAATTACAATAAACTTTTTATAAAAAGTAAGAAATACAATTACAATAAGAGCGAATATTGTTATCATAATAATTGTAAAGAACAATTAAAATAACAAATATACAATACAGTAAATAATAAAATATGGATTTCCGGAAGATAAAAACATAGTATTACTCATATTTAGAATAACTTATGTGAGATAAAGAAAAACAAATAAAAAATTTATATACTTTGTATAAAAATTGTCTTCTAAATTTTTAAAAAAAATCCTTTGATTATTTTTTAACAAATCTACCAAGAATCCCAACTCATTTTCCTAATTTTATACATTCAATTATTTGGAAATATCAAACAGATTTCGGTCCAGTCAAATTTTCAAAACCGAGTGAATGTGTGTTGTTCCATCAAGAAAAACACTAAATCAAAATATCCCTAAAGTTGAAGCTTGCATTACATTATGCCAATCACAGTTAATAATAATAATAATAAAAAAAAAAAAAACAATACTCTATCAACAAGAACAAAACCATATAATTTTTAACCCTACTTATAGTAGCCAAACCTTTCAAATAAAGTTTACAATACAAAATGGGTGTTACAGTTAGTAAAAAAATATGATCCAAACTGTGTCAGCGTCACTGCATGCCAGAAACATCTACCATTTTTAATGTTCACTCTAGTGTTCCGTAAGAAATGATTAATGTTGGAGAAAAAAATAGATGAAAAATACATAACATACCTCATCTTCGAGAACCGAAGTTGGAGACTCTACAAGATCCTCATTATTCAATTTGTCTTTCGTCTCCATTTCAAACCCTAAAAAAACAGAGTACAATCACCGGAAATAAAGTACATAAACAGAAACAGCCGCGCTAGAGTTGCGATGCGATACCTGACCGAGAAAATGGAAAAGATGACTGAAGAGTTGATGTTCGGGTAATCGAGCAGACAAAAGGACCGAGGAAAATAGCGTGTTTGCAATGGAGCAATAAGGAATTAAAAAGAGAAATTATAATTTTTTTTTTAACAATTAAATTTTAGGTTTAATTTTATTGATGGCGCATGAAATTGGGCGGGAAAGTGGAATTGACATATTGTCCCTGGATTTTGGCGTAATTTACCATGCAAACCTCGTAGAAGGGTAGGATAGGCTAAGGTCATTTATTGAAAGTGGTCCATGATGTCGGAAGTGCCAATTTGCAGTGTGTTGTTACCAAATTCCGCGAAAAGGCCTAACGCGTGCTGTGGTTAGCCACATTTTTATTGGTGGTAGTTTCCCACTACATAAAACTTTCATCATTTTTTTCAAGGCATTTACTTCTCATTTAAAAAAAATATAAAATATAAATTTATTAAATTATATTTTTTAAGTAATTTTAGTTGATTATATTTTAATACATTTTAAAAAATATTTAAAAATTATTCACTTCTTTATTATTTCTTTTTACTTATTTGATAAATGATTCAACAGAACATAAAAAAATTAAACAACTTATTATATCATCTTACTTCCTTTACTAAAAAAAATTATCTTAAACAAATAAATTTTATTTAAATATTTTAATAAATAATTAATATTTTAGTCAGAGAAATAATTTATTATATTAATAAATAGCTAAACCCTAAGCACTAAATCTCGTAAGTGGTTGTTCCACCTTTTTTCCCAGTTTGCCTCTTCAAAAACATACTCTGAAAATAATTTTTTTAAAATATATTAACTTATAACAGTATATTTGGTGTTTATAAAATTCTGAAATGGTGTGAAAAATATGTTTAGAATATTCATTTATTTGTAAAAAAAATATTATTTGTAAAAGAAATACTTACCAAATAAAAGATGATGAATGTAATTGGATTCTTATTTGTACAAGTTTGGGATTCACATGTATAAATCTATATCTATAAAATTATATATTTTATAAATTATATTTTGAATATATTTATAAAAAAAACTTATTCTTATGAATTAATCTACATAGAATATAACATTTTTCGTGGATTAAATTTACAACGACCTTTTATTAAAATTATATGTTTTTTATATTAATTTGTTGATCAATATAAATTATTAAAAATAATTAATATATAATATTTTATTAAGATATTATCATAGTGATTTATTTATGGGAGTGAGGTAATATATATATATATATATATATATATATATATATATATATAATATTTTGTTTACAACATGAAGATAAAAAAAAATTAAGTACTAAAATGAATGATTCAAGGGAAAAAAATAATACATTGTTGAAATATTATATAAATAATATAATTATATTTTTAGAAATGCGAAGGGAATATAGGTATTTATAAATTAATTCAAAGTTTCTTTTTCATTCTTCGTATGCAAACCCCTGTTTGTACTTTATTTCATCCATTATCATGTTTATGATGCATGTACAACTAGAGTTTAATAAATATAATCACCACATTACATAGACCAACTTTGGTGGATTACATGCCTTCACTCTCCTATTAGGCATAAACCCATAAATTAACAAGTCAAAATAATTTATTTTCATCAGTGCTTTGTTTCCGTGGTACACCATTACTTCTGATTTGCCTATAATTGTACATGATTTTTTAGAAACCATAGTCAAATACTTAACATCAAGGGAAAATAGGATAAAAAAAACTCACAATCTTTTCTTTACTGGAATCAAGATGGACTAACAAATGACTGTTTAACAAAGTTATTCTATGTAGTAACTCTAATATGATGCGCAGAGATCTTCAAAGCCCATATACTCTTGATTTTCTATCTTCTCAATTATGTTCTCTATTCCCACTCCACCTGTGATACATAACACAGTAAATAAGCATGAAAATTTGAAAGAATCGAACTGATGAAACAAAATTCTTTGTATTCTAATTAAAATCACAGAAAGTACCTAAACTTAGTGCGCTGATAAAAATGGTCAATGCTAGTATGAAGATGATAATGGATGCTCTGCCAAGAACGACAATTATCTTTCTCACCACATGCTGACCAGTGAATGCAGCTAAGGTTGCAACCAGAGTAAAGTAGGAAGCTGAAGCAAAGAGGTTAATAAATAAATAAACAAACAAATAAATAAATAACTAGCAAGTTTCACAACTTTGGAGGTTAATAAAATCAGCAGCAAGAGAAATGACCTCAATTTTTATAGCAAATTAAACAATAAATTATAAAATTCTAAGTGTAATGCAATAATGCAACTAACACACTATTTATGATCAGTAGGAGGTCTTGATTTCAATCCTTACCTCCATTATGAAATTCAAACAAACAAAAGAATGTCACACAGGCTTTAAATTGTTTCTCATGGTTTTATAGAATTTGACTAGTATGTTGTAAATAGTTCAAGACTTTTTTTTATTGCTGCTTACCATACGGTACAGGGAAACGATCCAACAAGAAGTATTGCACTACTGACATGGAGGATGAAAAAACCATGGCAAAAGTTGATGTAGCACTTGCTACCTGCAATTCGAAGAACAAATTTTTCATCAAACTTATATTTTTCTTGTGAGATTGTTCTGGAAAATTCTTAAGATGGTAAATACAGAAGAATGGTGAAGAGGGTACCTGAGGAGGAATTCCCAATTCTAGAAACAATGGTCCCAAAATGAAACCACCTCCTAGACCAAGCAGTCCACCAACCATACCAGCCATTATGCCAGTGGAACAATAGAGACAAATCTGATGAATCTTCCAATGGGTGATTTCCTTTCCCTTTGATGCAATCACTCTAGTTCCTTTGTATAAGCCTATGGCTTCAAAAAGTGTAACGGAGATTGCAATAGGAACCTTGAATTGGCAAATCAAATATCACTTAGTCTTTGGCGTGTCATAGTATTTTTTAATTGAGAAAGTTACATATATATTAAGGCTAGTAGATTTGTTTGATGGTTGATAGCTTGATATGGTGCTCCAAATTGTAGGACTGTAAGATATCCAGTTTTGCACGCTATATTACAATTTTTTTTTTATCATGAACATTAAGCAATCAGTGTTTATTGTTATCTTGTTTCATGCTGCCTCTTGTGCTTTCTACCCAATTCGTTGGAATTAATGCATTTTGTAAACATATTTGAGTTCATTTGTCTTTAATCATGGATTCATACAACCATAAAACCAAATATTTTATATTTCTGAATCACATCTGATATGCAGTACCCAAATATGTAATAGAAAATACCTTACCTGCAAGAAATTAAGAACCCAGAACTGGATGGAGCAGGGCTTGCTGTATTCCTGCACAAAAGAATGCATTTACTAAATTTTAAACAGAGAAACTCATCAGCTGCTTCGTGTGTGATTAAGGAATCAGAAAATTAAAACGTATTAATAGGTTGATCACCTTAACAATCTGAACAATGAAAAAAGCTACCCAGACATACAAGAGGAGTGATAATTCTTTCCAATATATGTTTTTCAGTAAAGGGGCCTGCATGTGGACGTGAAAAAATTGGGCAATGGGTAAAGTTATATAAATTATGAATCGAACACAGTGGAAATGACTTGAAAAAACCTTGTTATTACCTCCTCAAATAGTGAATCAGTTTTACCACTTGGTAGTGACTTGTAGTCACCTGCAATAAAAGGTTTACAAGTTACAACAATGAATGTTGAAAAGATTTCCTGTTACTTAAATTTTTATCTGATAAATCTTATAATTGGAATTTGGATTCCTTTCCTCTATTTTCTGCGGGATTTTAATTTGCATATTGTTCTTTTCCGGTTTGGAATCATCTTTCACACACACTTGCTGAAGGATTCTTCTGAATATTATAATCAGGTTTACAAGTGCTTACCACCGGGTTCTGGTTCTGCCTGCAGCAGTTTGGATGCTTCCTGAAGTTAAGTAGCATAGTATTTATTCATATCATTATGTTGAAGGAGTGAGACTCAGCTTCAAAATTTCAGGAAATGTAATTAGGTGAATTTACCTTCTTTGCAATTGATTCCTTTTTCCATGTGTCTATGCCTTTGTACGTAGCTTTTGTTGATGTAGCTGACACCGATTATTTCCAAATTAGCATTAGCAACAAAGAAAAATATATAAGGCATCATGGATACTATATAAGCAATGTCATTTGCAGCATCAATTAATTATGAAGCCCTGACATATACAATAATATGTAACTATACTGACTGCAACAGATGGATTTGAAAAGATTTATTCAGATAAACGAAAATATCATATTTAAAAAAGAATCTATTTAATGTGAAGTTTTTCACCAAAAGACTTGTTAACTAACTATTCTCCTAATTCACCTCCTATACATATTATTCTGTTGTTAATTTTGAATCTTTATAAAATCCTGACGTAGCAGCATGTTTTCTTTAATTCAGAAAGAGAATAAATACCCTGTGTTTTCTTTATCTTCATTGTTGTACTCTACTTAACGAATACTTCCAAGATTGGTAACAATGTTCACTAATTATAGATATCTGCAGTTTCAGCATTAGATTTTTAATTCAGCAGTTTTCAAAATTACTCAATTATTTTTTCATTCAATCAGAGCATCTCACATGTCCAACATCTAGTTCTTAATTAAATAATTATGCATGCTTGAAACATAAGAAAGATCAAGATAAATAGACAAATGTTAATGATGTTGTTATATAGTTGTTACCTACGAATAGGATGATAAGCAAAACTGTCACCATCCAATCAGCAAACATGACATTACATATAACACCAATGCTTATTCCTAGCATTAGCATAGGCTGGAAAATCAAAGCCAGGTCATAGTCTATAAGAGGCATGTCTAGTGTTGGGTGCCTTAGCCTCAGATTGTAGTATACGGTTGATATTGATGCACCCATTATCATACCTGAGGTTATAAATCAAAGCATGTTATATGAAGAATCCAAAAAGTGAATGTTACAACCAACCAAGATAATATATACTCCTTGTTTTTGAGATAAAAAATCACAATAGCTAGATAGTAGATACTAACACTTAGAAATGGCAGTAGAAGACTTGGGGTCAAAGCCAATGACCAAAGCGAGCATAGGCACAAAAATTCCTCCACCTCCTACCCCTCCAACGCTTCCCAATGCAGCTCCCGAAAATCCAATGATGGATCCTACTACTATTCTCAAACCAAATTTCATGTTCTGCTCAACCACCAGCACAATGCATGCACATTTCAGATGTAAGAAGACAACATTGCAAAGAAAAGACCTAAGTACCATGCTATATAATGTATGCTACAAAAGTTACTCATTATGTATCAATGTGTTTGATGAACTAACCGGCCAAACAGGTTCATAAGAAGACTTTCCCTCCTCCCACAAGAAATTCACAATGGCTTTTAGAACTCCTTGTCTCTCTTTCTTACCATCATTTCCTAATTCTTTTTCTTTCAAAATTCTATCTGCTAAACTGAAATTGCAGATCACAGCAAGGATACATAAGACCAGCAATGTTGCTGCAGAAATTGAATAAGTCTTGCTTTTCACCACTGTAGCCATGTATGCAAGGTGAGAATAGCCAGAGATGAGAATCTAGGAGTTAGGATAGTAAGAGCAATGCTATGTTCCTTGGTTGTTTTTTCCTTCCTTTGCTTCTACAAGTATGTAGCCGAGGAAGGAAATTATGAAAATTGAGGAATGCATTATTCAGTACCACCATTCTGGCCCCTTAAATAACTCTTATTTTCTATTTTTAATTTCATTAAAGAAATCCTAGTTATATGAATTGAGAGGTGCTTTCATTCTTGTTTCCAAAACTTCACTTGTTGTGTATAGAATCTATGATAGTTGAAGATTCCTTTATATGCCTTTTAATTTCTTAAAATTGTATGGTTATTATTGAAAAGACAAAATTTGAGTGTATGTAGTAATTAAGTGTCTTTTGTTATTATTCTTAATCAAAATTTATATTTTATCACAATCACTCATGCAAGGAAGGTTGATATAAAATGACAACACCAATTTAAAGGTACTCTAAGACGAAACTCCACCTAAATTTTATCCTTATTGAAATACATTATAAACATTTTGGAAGGCTTTAACACTGTTGTGGCGCACTGATTATTTAATCAGAAATTTCTCAACAGAGATATTATATGTCGTGAATAAATAGTTATACAAGTTAATGTCATTTCCAGTACATAATAGTTTGAGAGTAATTCGTTTACCAAAATTTAAGTAGTAGAGTGTATAATTTTTGCCCTTGAAAGAATCGTTTTCTTAACATTTGATGAAGTGTTAACATTGTTTTTTTTTTTTTTTTTTCGGAGAAACCTAGTCACTGATAAATAAGGGAAAAAGCTATTGAAAAAGAATGTTAGTGATGGAAATTTCCCAGCCAAAATGGCTAAAGACATGAAACGACAACGATGTTGTCACGTACAAGTAGATTTCACCGCTAAAAAAATCAAATTACTCGTAACAAATTAAATTAGTACCTTCACCATAACTAACTTCAAGAACAAGCCAATGGCTCCGGAGGAATCTTCATGGAAGAAGCAAACTCGTTTTTTATGGTATATATTTCGATTGCTTGGAAGATTTTGAAATCATGGAAAAGAGTCAAACAAATTAGTTTTTGGATTATTTAAATTGTAGTGAATAGACGTAACAAGGAGCTGAAAATTGAGATATATATATATATATATATATATATATATATATATATATATATATATTATTTTAAAGTAGATATTTATTATTAAAATTACAAATTGTTAGAGAAAAAAAAATTATGAGACGGAGTTTGAAGAAAAAATAAATCTCTTCTTCAATCAAACACTCTGCAATTAGTTTTATTACATTTTGATACGATATTTTGGTTTAGTCCCTATTTTTATCTTTTTCGTCTTTCTGAAATTTTTGCTTTCAGTTTTTACTTTTAGATCTCATAATACTATAATAATTCCTTAAAAAATTATATATTATATTCAATCATAATGATATCATTTAAATTATAACATTATTATAGGACGTCTGTCAGAAAAAAATATTATATTTATAAAAATTAAAATAGATAAGTATTTTATGAGTACTAAAATAAGAAAATATATATCATTTTTGTTTTATTTCAAAAAGTAAATGTGGTTTTATTTATTGGAAGGATTATGAACGATTAATTGATCTCTATGTGGTAAATGAGTTATTTCTTTTTCAGAAAAGATTAATAAGTTGTTGATATTGCATGTATTTCAATTGTGAGATGTTTTAGAATTTCGATATCGGAAAAATATTATTTGTTTATAATTTAGACATTTTTTTAAAATGAATAAAAGATCTTATACTTTATGAAACTACCAATCTATTTTGATACTTTTATATCAATTAAAAATAACATTAATAATACTGGTAATTATGAATAATATTTTAAGAAAAAAATTATCAAAGAAAATGAAAAGAAAAAATTGATTTAGTTCTATTGTGAGCCATCGATGGTAATAATAAACATTAATATTGTTGAATAAGGTGAAAAAAAAAATAAAAAAATAAACTAATGTTAAAATAATATATTTGACAATTTTTTAAATGAAATATTGAAGTCAACAAAAATATGTTAGGTCTAACAATTATTGGTCTATTTTAATATACAACTTAAATATGTTTTGTAAATGCCACTTTTTATATTATAAATACTTTCTTTAGTTCCTACAAATATTTTATTTTTTATTTTTGTTACAAAAAATAACAATATTAATTTTTTATTTTATTCCATACAAATAAAATATTTTTATTTTTTATAAATATATTCTTTAATAACATAACATTGCTGACATTATATATTTTATGATGATAACAAAAATAAGTTGATAGTTTTGTTAACATGCAATCAGATGGCGTCTTTATGTTAAAAATAACAAAAATAACTAATGGAAAGACTAAAGAGTAGAAAAAAAAATTAAAGAAAAATAAATATAACTGAAAAAGTTAATTAATGAAAGCTTGTATTTTTTGTAAATCTGCTGAACAGAGAAAGGTAACAAGAATCGTGGAGACGCTTCTCCTGATTACGTTAATTAGTTTTATTCAGATATTATCGAACAGTAAGTTAACCCTTACCGATACTAGGAGGTAAAAAATAACTACACTGAAAAACTTCTCTGTAAAAACCATTCACACTGTGGCTCAAAAGATCTGAAATTTATGTAGGATTAGAAAAATCTGAGCAATTTTTGTTATTAGGCATCAAAGTGAAATACAGTTTGGTTCGAACTTTCAGATTAACTGAATTTAGAAATAATTCAGTTTAGTTAGTAAAAAAATGTTAGCTCAAATAAACTATTATTTTAGTTCCTTCGATTCTCACGTAATTCAGCTTTTATGGCCTCCCTAGACTCTGTCATAGCTTATTTGCTTGGGTCTGTTTCATTCCGAACACAAACACTTCCTATCGACAAAATTGGAGTTTGCAGTTAGCAGGGCAATCACATAATTCTCCATAAATAGTCAAGAAGCAATATACAATATCTATTCATTTTTGTGGCGTTTGTTTTCAAAACCCAAATGAAATCAAAATTAGTTAATTTTCTTAGTTCTGTCAACTCCAATACTCGCTTTGGAACCGAATTAAACCATCAGCTTCATATTATCAAGAACGTTCTGTCACATAATTAATTGGTGTATTGAAATAAATCAATTAATTTGCGTACGAAAAATCTATAAGCAAATCGACAAATACTGCTGGAACCTGTGTCCAATCATTGAGCGATAGAGCACAAAAAGCTTGGAAGCCACGCATCCTTTTAAAAACACAAAATCCTTTGTTTCATTTCATAAAATGTCGGCAGAAAACACAAATCCCAAAACAAGGTACCGACATACAATGTCCAAGTCCACAGAAAACTGGAAGCCACACAATTGTTTCCCATAAAAAATGAACCAGAAAATCCTATGTTTCATTACATAAAATGTCAGAATAAAACAACACAAATACCAACATTAAATATCCAAGTCCGCGTTGACAAAAAGAAGCATATTACTCGAAAGATGCAGTATTCAAGTTTTCAACTATGGATAGGGGTGGCTACTGTGTCCTTCTTACGGTGCAATGATAACACAACAATTACCAGGGATGGGGGGCCAGGAGTGAACAGCAAGATTCAAAAGTTTATATAACCAAATGATGAATATTACCGATTAAGTTGATAAATACGATGCTCAAGTCCTAGTAATCGTACTCCCGGGAATGAGATCTCTCTGCGCGACGATATTCTCGGTCTGTACCATGACTTCTCTCCTTCTCATGTGATTCAGATGTTGCCCGTCCTACATGGTAGTCATCTTCCATCCTATCATGGTCATGATACTGATTGTAATGATCGCCTCGATCACCACGGTCATCTCCACGATTGTAGTGGTCATACTGTTCTAGGTCATGATCAGGGTCTGCATGCCGACGACCATGTTCATACTGGTTATGCCTACCACGATCGTCCTCAGGTTCATAGTCGCGATTCCTTTCCCCATGTTGATCCCTCTCATGCTTAGATTCAACACGATCATAATCAGACTCCCTGTCACGTGAGCGTCGATCAGTATCCCCAACTTCATGATCTCTATCCCTTTCACGATGTCGATCACGGTCCCTCTCTCTATCCCGATCCCGTGCTCTATGTCCACGATCTCTTTCTCTTTCCCTATCTCTGTCCCTGTTCCTTTCACGGTCTCTGTGGTGTCTATCCTCTCTATAATCACGATCCCTGACCCTTTCATGAGAATGCTCCCTTGATCGCTCCCGTTCTCTATCCCTATCCCTACCTTTTTCACGCGATATTTCCCTGTCTCTAAATGATCTCAGACCACCAAATAATCACAGTAAGTGACTTGCAAAATAAACTATGAAAGAACATTATTTCAAAGTCCACAATTATATGAACTTCATTTAACGCAGGGAAACAATAGAGCATTCCAGAGTGTGAAAGAATTATTTATTGTACAACAATTGATGCTGACTACAATAGAAAACTGAAGTAGAAACATATCTCATTTCTTACCTATCGCCATGTCGATCCTCCCGTGCTCTTGGTTCTTCAGAACGAGACTGCTGTTGCTCCCTGAAAATTGAAATCAAGTCATATTTTCCCTTCAACTAAAAAACAAAGCATACAAGAAGTTATCCACAGTGCATATGACATTCAACAAACAACAAAGGAGGTTAATATTTATCAAAAAACTGGGGGCTTTATTTGCAACCTAGGGTGATGAGTTGTGTATTGGTTAAGCCAAATGAACAGTCAATTGAAGTTCAATTTCTATCAGTTACTCTATGCAAGTTGTTTGAAAAAGCAGATGATAAGAGTGAATGATAAATATTAAACGGATTGTTGTTAGACCGGTCACCTCCCAGAATGTCGCTGATTAAGTTCTTCACCCCCAACTCTAGTAGTACCAAGCCCACCACCCAAGCGGCGAGGCCTCCAATTTGGAACAGTCCTCCCACGCTCAACATCCACAAGCACCCTTCTACCATCAATTTTCCTACCATCAGCCTGTTTATAAGCAGCTGCAAAATGAACCAAGGATGTCAATTAAAAGCCATAGTGAAATAAACAAATTGATTAATCTCTGTCAACCTTTCATGTCTCTTGTATGCAGAAACTCAATAAAAGCATAACCCTTGGGCTTATTTGTCTCTTTGTCCACAACTAACCGAACCTACATCATAAGAAAATTGAAAAAGGCCAGTCAGGATAGAAAATTTTGGTCTTCATCTGCAATGTAAATATAATAAACAACACTCCCTCACTTCAGAATTGACATTACTACCAAAAAAAGGACTAATGGTATATTCTTAAATGGCACGGCAGACAGGCACTGTGCCTAGTTAGCCGTGCTCACCTTTAAATCACACAGCTCCCATCCATAGATGCATCACCACCAGCAATAGTTGCAGAAAAACTGATGTATTTGGGGCCAATTAACCAGTTGGTGACTAGTTCCCCTTACCAGGGATATTATTTTTAAAATAAATAAAACAACTATAGGTAATATAGAAAATACCATGACATCTGCTCAATTGCTGATTTGTTTTTGATAGATACTCTAGCCTTAGCCAAGAATAAAATTTAGCAACATCAAAAACATGCTAGCTAAGAAATTAAACAGAAGAGGAAAGAATGCAATACTCCCAATGTATTTTACCCAGTGTAGAAAATAACAGAAGAAGTCAGTCTCCTTTTCTTGCTTGAAAACAAAGGCCAAAAGGAATGATGGACATCACTGCTCTGCTCAACTAAATATTCAGTTAACAGCAGATGGAAGCACTTGAACTTGAGTCCAGATTGGTTGAAATCTTAGAACAATTTACCACTTGCAGAATAAGAACTACACACCCTTACCATGGATGTATTTTTTTTTTAGATACTATACGTACTGCTAACAAAATTCCTAGATAGACCCAAGCCCTCGGAAGATCTCTTGATTCACATAAATTAACACAGGAACCAAGAGGAAACTAATAAAAGAAACGAATACATAAACATTCATTCTATGGAAATTGGTGGTGCCACCAAATACAGTTGTTACCATTGCAGAATCACTCACCATTGACGATAAATATAATCGGGAAAGACGCGTAATTTGTATCCTAAAATCTTTGGACAAAACAGGATAAAAGTTATGCATTATTGATTAGATTCATGACAAGCTATACAGTTCAACAATCAAGTTATTCATGATAACCCACTGGTTTACTGATGTACACAGTACAAAATCATATTCTCCAGATAATCATACTATGAAATGTAAATAGCTTGGTCAACCACAAGACTAATCAATATAAAAATTTACTTAAAAAATTATTATTAATATGGAGAATTATGCAATTGAGAAAGACATTTTAAAGGTTGGTAATTCATACATAACTTTTTGAAAATGATGAACAGAAAATACAACAGACTAAGAAACTACTATGAATGAAGCTCTTACCAAATCCCCTTGGGGATATTCAAAATACCTACCCGTTTGATTGGACCATATGACTCAAACTCCCTTTTGATTCTGCTTTCAGTGGTCTCGTAACTCTGTTTGAAGATAGCAACAATAAGATATGACTATTATGGATATGCTACAAAAGTGACACACCAGTACGACATTGAAAAATCTTACAAGTTTAGCTACAAACAATGTCTTGTATGGATCTCCAGATACATTTGGGTCATTCTGTGGGTCATCTGCAAAGAAGCCAATATAAGAATGGATCCAGAGAACATAAATGAAGAGATATTAGCATATTCACAACAACAAGGGACTCATCACATTTCTCAAGCTCCTCAGCAGCCTTTGCAGCTCCCTTTTCTAGCCTTAGCTTGTGTATTCTGGCTCTTTTTTGTGCCTGCACCAACAAAATGGATCAAAACCATAATCTAAAATAACTTTAATGCCATCTAACAACTAATCCAAAATGGTTTTTCAAAAAACAACCACAAAGGACAGGAATTTACCACACAGAAAATATCATGAAGGCAATGAATATAAAATGATTACTCATCAAAGTAACCATGCATTTAAAACCCAAACTATAGATCATAAGCAATGAATGGATCAAGTTTATGCAAACCATGCACTCTTAACCTTCAATTAAATCTGTTCCAGCATTCCACAGTAACATTCGTCACAAACTAATCATTATGGTAAATTTTCATCTCAACAAACTCCTGGTGAAGCAAGTAGACAAAGCACAGACAGAATTCAGAAGAAGGCTCAACCTTCACACTCCCTCCCTCAATTTCAGAGTAGAAGAAAAGCCTCCCAATCCAAATAATTAGTTTCAACAATAACCAAACGCTTGCATAGAGTAAATAAAACATAAACATAGAAACATAGTTATGAGAGAAGAAAGTGAACGGAACAGTACAGGAGTTTCGGTTTCTGGAACAGGTGGAGCATATTCTGGATCCCCAGGCTCGGCAAACTTGCCCACAAATTGTGCCATCCCTTTAAAAGATAAGAAAAACATCAATTATCAGAACACAACACAATACAACCAACCAACGGAAACAGGAGCGTTTATAAAACCTGTCAACGGTGGACATTTCCGTTTCTCCGGCGGCGGTTTGTACTCCAAGGGAGGCCTAGGCTCGAAGAGCTTCAGCAGGTTTGCTGTGAGACCAGTAGGATGACTCTGCCCAATCTGAACCCCCAATACATAACAGAAGCACCGGAATTAGATAAACATAACAAACCCTAGCTACGGTCGCGAATCGAAAAATTGGTATTGAGAAAAGAGAAATTGGAAGAGACCAGTTTGAGCTGAAGGACGTTGGAACGGTTCTGAGCTTTGGTGCGGGCCTGAACGGCGGCGTTTTGGTTGCGCATGAAGGCATCGTTGTTATTGTTGTTGAAGTCCCCCATGGATTGCAAAGATGAGTAGTGTGGTGTGATGTGAGGGTACAAATGACGAAATCAGGGAGACCAATGCATGTACTATAAGAAGAAGATCCGATCCAAGTTGTGCCCCGCCCCGTTTGATGAAGATGAAGATCCAACGGTGCCTGGATCTTAGTTTACTTCTTTCTCACTGCCCACACCCTTGCTCAGGATAGCTTATTAGGTATGGTAGGGTTTTTATGCTAATTTTATTATTGCTTCAATATTTGAAATAATAATAATAAATATATCACTTTTTTAAATAATCTCATTCACCACTTTCAATAAGAAAAAGAAAGTTAATTAATTCGATTATATAATAAACACAAAAAATTTAATGTTTCATAAGAAAAAAAAAAACAATAGCCACTTTAAAACTTCTTGTTTTATATATATGCCTAAAACTGCAGTAGTTTTGGAAACATATAATTTTTTTTTAATTCTATAAAAAATATTTATGGTGAATATTATAGTGTGATATGAAATCATTTATACATGATAGATTTTTTTTTACTGTATTGTTGTGTTTTTTTTTATTATTACAAACATTTTTTTTAAACATGAATTGACAATAACCTCCTTTATCCTCTCCTAACTTGGACAAAAAATACAAGTTTCCTTTTTATTTTATTTTATTTGTCTTTAATGATAAAATAATCAGCACCAACAAGTTCAAACCCCTAAAGTTATTTTTTTTAGGATACGAGACAATGAAAATTAAGAGAAAGCGAAAAAAATAGAGTTATTTGAGTGAAAACAAAAACAAAAATAAGTAACAAATAATAATTTTTTTTAATTTTTAATAATAAGATAAATTAATAAATAATTAAAATATTTGTAAAGTAATTTTAATAAGAATAAATAAAACTTAAAATTAAAATATAATTTAATATAACATAATTATTTAATAAATTAATTTAAAATTTAAATTAGTATATATATAAATTAAACTTATAATATTTTATAATTATTTATAAGAAATATTAAATTATGGAAATTATTTTAAAAAATTACATAGTAATTTTTTTTTCAAAACAATTTTTTTCTTATAAATAAACAAGTGAACAGAGTTACCTAAAAATAATTATACAAAATAATAAATAGACATTAAAAACAAAATTTTCAACAAAACTATAATTCTAATTTTATTTTAAAAATTATTAAATAAACCTTAAAACCTTACATTATTTTTTAAATTATTATAATTCGCTAACTCTATTGTTACAAAATAATAAATAACTATAAACTAATTTTAAAAATATAATAAACAAATCCTAAACTCTAAACATCAATTTTAAAATTCTTAACAACCCTTTAAAAAAAATTTAAAATCTAACAACTTTTTTATCAAATATTAAAATTTCATAATCTAATATGATTTTCAAATTTTAATAAATAAATCCTAGACATACCAATTATTTCTAAAATACTACAAGCCCATAAATATAATTTAATTTTTCAAAAATAGATAAATAAACCCTAAAAATTAATTTTAATATGATCAAAAGCCTATTGTAACTTTTTCAAACTACTAAATAAACTCTAAAAAAATTAATAAAAAATCTAAAACCTTATAATTAATTTTAGGAATTACAAAATGCTCTCAACTCTACTGTAAGGTTTACAAAATTTCAATATACCTAAAACCTTAAAAAAATACATATTAAAATTATTAACACAATAATTTATCTGACATGTTTAAATATGAATATATAAATCCTAAATCTTCGAAATAAAATTAAAAACTCCATAAGTATTCACAAAAAAATGATAACAAATATTAGTTCACAACTTTAATATTGTATATTATAAACACGTAAACTATTCAAGTTTTTATCAACCACATGTATAATGTGGAAAGGAAAAACAACAATTCAGTCAGTATGTACAAAGTTCAAATAATATGATTTATTATTAATATGTAGTAAATACCTATTCAACTAAGACATAATCATTTATGTTGAGATTAATAATTGTCAAAGGAGTTTGTCTCAATTTTTATATCTACACAATGATAAACAATGAAGTTGTATGATTATTTAATAAAATGACGTGTTAAGAGTACATCATAAATTTTATTAAGACAAAAAACACAGAATACAAATCATGAGGAGATTAGGTCAAATCATAGAAAAGAAAACATAATAAAATTAAGAAAATCGAAACTTATGAAGACCATTCTTATTTCTAAAAGAACTGTATTTTATAAAATTAGGTATAACTAACCACCATATGAAAACATGTTTTTCCTTAAAACTATAATTAATTAAAAAATATAGATATAGATTTATAAATCTCAACACATTTTCTATGTCCAGTACGAAAATATGCTGATGTTTACTATCAGTGTCATCAAGTTAATTGTTTTCACATACACTTGATCATACTTAAATCTATAATATATAAAAATAAAAAAGTAGTTATACTAAACATAGATATTTATCATAATTATAAAATGAAAATATAGTTTACCTAATTTTAAATTATTACAAAAATATTAATTTGGATTTATTTTACCATAAATCTAATTCAAATTGATTTATAAACACGATAACAAAATATTCACAAAAAATAAATGTGGCAAGACATTATGAGTCTCGGCCAACTTTGTTTTGAAATACTTGATAGGCCTACTATTGCCACCATGTTGGTGAAAAAAAGCAAGATAAATTTGAGAATAAACTTTGCATGAATAATACGAGTTATATAATGTTCAAGACTCCACTCCATATATATGTGCCTGTGAAACCCGAAGTTAACACAATAGCCTTATTAAAGAATATAAAACATTGATTTTAGGCCTCCTCAAACACACCCCGAAACAAGCTCAGTTCTCTACAAATTTGGACCTCACTTTCCCATGCATGCATGCATGCCAATGAAACAATAAACGCAGTAACAGGCCTCTTGGTTTTCTCTCTTTCCTTTCTCAAAGTTGTTATCAGCAATCAATAATAGAATTGCTAATCTCATTTGCTCCGCAATCTAATGCCGTAGCTTTTGGTTCACTTCACCACTAGAGCCATCACTGCTGCCAAATTCCTGGCTATTAGAAAACACCGCCTTTCTAAACTTTTGTAAGTCAGCATTGTATTGCTTTGTATCATACTGCTCTGATCCAGATGAAGAATTGTAAACAGTACTTTGCCCTGCCTTTATCCCATCTTTCAAGTCATCCAGTGACACATCTCCCTCCAATATTCTTACAATCTGCATATAAACTCATAAGTAAACAAATTATTTACTTTAATTGAATATGAATTCAATTAGTTACTGTAAGAAAATATGTCACTACATTTAATTCAAAATCTTAAGATATCATGTAGGTAAGTCTTTCTCACTTAACGTCACCAACGTAAAATTTCAACAAACACTTGAATTTCAATAAAGAAAGCGCTGGATTTTGTTTTTGTTCACTCATACTACACTACCATAAATATTCTTATGGACGTAATCAATAGTGATGTGTCTCTGTATGAATCATATGCATACCTGGCTCATTTTTGGACGTTTTTTGGAAGAATGACGAATGCTACCAGCAGCACAAGCTGCCATCCTTGACAATTCTTGAGCATTGTAGTTTCCCTCCAAGAAGGGATCAATCAACTCTCCAAAGTTGCCATCCTCTTCCAATCCACGATTCAGTAGAGGTCGAGCCTACTCGGTTCATAGGTTCCCAAAAGTTTTAATCAGTTCAATAAAATAATAAATGATGGACTCTAAGACGAACACGATACCAACCCAATCTACTAAGCTGTCATCCATTGCACTTGTGTGATCCACAGGTCGCTTTCCAGTTATGAGTTCTAATAGCATGACCCCAAACGAGAAAACATCAGACTTCTCAGTCAGTTTTCCACTTGATGCATATTCTGGGGCTAGGTACCTGTGTTCCCATGCACATCATGAGCAAAAAGCACTTCCAGTTTTAGTTATTTCTTTATTGAAGTTTCTGCAGGGAATAAAAGCACATGGTGATTAGAAATTACCCGAAAGTTCCCATCACACGAGTCGATACATGAGTATTATTATCAGTAGTCAACTTAGCCAATCCAAAATCAGCAACCTGAATAAAATGTGTAGTTGCCAATACTCAATTAGCTTTAACAACACAAGATTCTTAACTTGTGGGATGATAATTAATTAGGTAAATATGTGTATTAACTGATGAAATAGGTAAAATATGTAATTATGCTGAACCTTTGCTTCGAAGCTATCATCAATGAGGACATTCGCAGCTTTAATATCACGATGGATTATGCGAGGATGACCTGAAGTGCATATGAAAATGCAGCAAAAATTAAAAAAATGTAAACAGAGAAGAATATGAATAAAAAAATGAAACATCGTGATCTAAAGGGATTTGACTCTCTTACAATCTTCATGAAGATAAGCAAGCCCTTTGGCTGATCCTATTGCAATTCGCATTCTAGTAGGCCAATCCATTGTAGGCGTGCCCTTTCCTTCATATAACCATAGAATACATTAGCAATTTTGGTTGCAAGGGGTGCTCACAGCAAAAATGGCAGAAAAATATGTGACAAGTAACCTGCAGCAGCGGCATTATAAGTAACACATCTAAATGTTAACGTAGTAGTAAAGAATAAGGCTAAACCATTCACTTAGTGCTTTTTATAGTTGTTTCCATTTTAAATTTTAGTCCCAATACAAAGACACCGTGAGTTTCAGTCTTTGCACAAATTTTTGTTGCAGTTTGTCATTATTCGCAAGTTTCTATAGTTGCTTTACATCACTATAATAGGTTCTTTCATGTTAACTTTTATATATATCTATATACATGTGTGTGTGTATAAAATGGAAACAACTATAAGAATCAAGTGAATATTTTAACCAAAAATATGGTTTCAAAGTTGTCCTTCAATTGAAATTTGAAAGAGAACAGTTGAAGCAAAAGCTGAAATGTTGCATATATGTAGTAGTTACCATGAAGGTGATATTCCAATGTTTTATTGGGAATAAATTCATAGACCAACATTCTCTGGCCACCAGAAATAGAGTATCCAACGAGTGACACAAGATGGCGATGATGGACACGACTAATGATGTCAATCTCAGCTTGGAACTCTCGTTCTCCCTGTCCACTTCCTGCTTTTAGACTCTTAACTGCCACTTCCTTTCCATTAGGCAACACCCCCTTGTGGACATAACCGAAGCCACCTTGTCCTATAAGATTTACATCAGCGAATCCATTGGTGGCAGCTGCCAGTTCCTCCAAACTGAAGGTGCCACCTTTGAGGCCTAGAGCAAGGTTTGGTGAGGGAGGAGGCAAGGGTGGTCCCGTCGAATAGTTGGAGCTCATTTCAGCACTATTCATCATCGGAGGAGGTGGTGGTGGACCCCACCCTCCACCACCTGGACCCATTCCATTCTGTACCCTCACCACATGTTCCGGGTGTGGACCTCCGTAATAACCCGGGTGTTGGCCGCTATTGTAGTAGTTATTATTCCCGTTATTGTAGTAGTTATTATTCCCTGTAGAGACCATTAGTTATCAACATCAACAATCAATAATAGTATACAAGTGTGCATTGTGATCACTGATCAAAATGTACATCACCATTCGCATATAACTCATTTCTAAGCACAGATCAGAACATGGTACATGCATGCATATATTGCTATTGTCTAACCACCAATTCTTGATCAAGCGAAGTGCTTGCAAACATGATGTTCAACGTATTGAAGTACTAAAAACTCTCTGTTGAAACTAAAAACCATAACTGAAGTTATTTTAATATTATTACCTTGAACTTCTTATTAGTTGTGTTTGTGTTCAGTCAAGAACTTTTTACAGGACCAAACTTGTGCCCATTACTTATCTTAGGAATTTTTTTTAATGATCCTTGAACACTTGGTAGTTAATCTGCATTCAGAGAGAAAAAGATGAAAAGTCCAAATTGTTTTATCTCACTGACAAGAATCAGCAACAATTTTGAAGATGAAATGAAGAAGTTTGGTTGAAGAACAAGTTAAGGTATAATTTTCAAACGCACCTATTCATTCAGAAAAAAAAATTGAAAAAAAAAAAAAATCTCCACCTTTTTATTTTTCTCTGCTTCACGGGAATCACTCCCCCCTCCCTTATTCATCTGCTTCATCTCCCCATCCCATTCTCATATCTTCTTACTCTCATTTTACTCTCCTCATACCATCCTTTCGAATCTCACAAACTTCTTCCACGTAACATTTCATTTGAAAGGAACATTACCCATCCATTATAGAAAAAATCTCTAGTTGGAGCTTTATGATATTCATTAGAGAACATGGCTGTTGCTCCTACTGCTTGGTTCCCCATAATTGTGAGTAGCTAATCTACCTAATGGCGTGTCAATTTGTATTTTTGGAAGAAATAATAATAAGTATTAAAAACAGGTTCTTTTTATGATTATGATTCTGGTTATGACTTTTATGAGAACTAGAAAATGAAAACAAATATTAAATTTATTTACTTATTTATTTATTTTGTGATGGATTTGATAAATATGGGCTTAAGCTTATGAGTTGAGTACTAATAGTTTCTATGATAACCGTTCTATGTCCACTTTGTTTAGACATGCTCTCACTAAGTCTTTGTGACTTATCCCATTCTTTCCTTTTCTCCTTCCAGATTCACAATAGGTTTAGTGGCTGGCTTCTTGGGATTGGCCAGATTAACTAAGAGTTTGTTCATCATTTTGGTATGCCTCCATTGCATGTGATAGAGAGTATTTTGAATTGTCACCCAATGTATTGTAGTTATTGGAAGAGGGATAGAGAATAGAAAAGGCTTTTTATTTTGAGATGTATGATGCTACTATTAAGTATGTTAATGATGTAATCATGATGTTTTGAGACCTTATGATGAGTATGTATGAACTATATAATTTCTACATGTATATATTTATGGTTAAGGCTTTCAGTGGTGATGTGTGGTCTTAAACAAGATTCTTGAGGTTTAGTTGCATGGTTTTATATGTGTTCGTATTAGAATTGTCCTATATTTCAAGGGACACCCTGTCAAAAAATTTTCCTGTTTCTTTATCAATGTGTTTTGATGCTAATTTACTTGGAATCTGGCGAGACTACGGGTCGTGACAAATTTTGTCCTTTATCATCTAATGGTACTTGTGCATGATATGTATAAAAAGCCAAGCAAGAGATAACAACGGTTTTGGTTGGTTACCTTTTCTAAGTGATTGTTCTCCATAATAGTACATTCTCTTTTTTTTCTTCTTCCTGGAGCAGATAACGCAAACAATGACCAAAATAAGAAGCACGCTCCCTACTCCAAGTACTGCTCCAACTATGGCCTTATTACTGCTATCGTCGCTGCCACCACTACTACTTCTGCTACTTCCATGTTTACTGCCACCGCCACTCCTACTGCCACTACTTTTTGAAGAGGATGGAGGTTGTAACGGTTTGTGTGGAGGTGAGGGTGATTGAAAGGAGGGAGGAGAGTGTGATGATGCGGGTGGAGAAGGTGACTGTGAGGAACCATTGGGTGATGGCGGGCTTGGATTGCTTGATGTTGGAGGGGAAGCAGGAGACTTTGGGGATGGCGAAGATGAAGATGAAGATGGAGGTGGTGGTGATGATGATGGAGGTGGCGAAGATGGTGGCAGCGACGATGATGGTGGCGAAGATGGTGGTGGCGGTGATGATGGTGGCGGTGATGATGGAGGTGGTGATTGTGATGGTGGTGAAGATGAGTTGTCTGCGTCATCAGGGGTGTTGTTGTCCGGGGTGGAGTCATCAGGTGTTTCATCATCGGGAGAACTGTTACGAGGGGAGGAAGACATTATTACTGTATCTCAGAATTCACATGAAGTGCTTAATTCTGGGTTCCGGCCAAAAGTTTGTATCCAGAAAGCACGTTGCCGGAAACACCACCTACTAACGGTTGGACCCCTGAAAAGAACAAGATTTTGGGATGATGATTAACAAGTAATGGTCAAAATGTCAATGCATGTTATTTACATGTAGATGAAGGTGATATGATTGATTAATCTACACAAAAGTCAAAACCAGGTTACTACAATGTTTATTGTGTTTTTATTTTGAATTAGTAATGGAATTTGGTTTCCTAGATTATGGGATTAAAGTCTCTTGGGGAGAAGCTTTTTTTTCTTCTCATGGAGAAAAGGTACCTGATTGGAAGAAAGCAGGGGTTCTCAACAGAAAGAAAAGGGAAACGTGTTGCATGCTAAAAAGTCCATAATACAAGAGGAGGCTTTGCTGTTTTTCCTCAATGCTCTCCTACAAAGGAGGACCTCTGGTTTTCTCAATCAATGCATTTGTCTCTGCCACCTCTTGCTTAGTTTGATTCAGTTATAGCTTTGACCATTTTTTGGCTGGTCTTCTTTCTGTTATCCAATGTCCGGCCATAATTTGCTTAAAGGATTCTGCTAACTCACAGCACTTACCTTGAAATAGCTTACCAACCAATCAAAAACACTTACATATTTCACCTAAAAATAACATTTTAAACTTTAATACCCTTTATTTGCTCTCTGATAAGTACATCTTCATAAATTACCTCACTAATTAATTTGTATACACATTGTTAACTTAAAAACCATGATAATTTATTAAACTCAAAACAATTTATCTCACAATCCCATTTTGAATGGTTGAACTCAACTTGTAATAAGATGTAGAACTCAGCTTGTGCATGATAGTTAGAACTGTCCCATAATGCTTTCTCTGAGTATGTTACGTTATCAACTCTAGACGTTGAAAGAAACAAAGAAATTCAGTCTCTTCATTCTAAATTTTTATCATCATTTTTTAAAGTAAGAGAGTTTGAAGTTCAGTTTTAAAGTTTGAATTGAACACTAAATTTTAAATGACAATATAATGACAGAATCATAATCATGTTTGACCCAAAACATAAGAACTAGAAACAGATTTATTTATTTTAAAAAGAACTATGGAACATGGACCAATTTCGTTCTTTGCTTAATCCATTGTTTACACTTCAGTGTAAAAAAACTCCTTTGGCTCTATACAGAATAAATCAAACATCATTTCACTTAGAAGGAAATAAACAAATCAAATTTCTTTCCAAAACCATCACCTTTTTCTGTTTAATGTGGTTGTGAATAACGAATTATAGGGCAATTGGTGGGTGGACGAAGTCTACAAATCAAGAACAACACAAACAGTCACATTCCATTTATGCTGTGAACTCTTACAAGGGAAATATACACGCACAGTATGAAACAAAGAGGCAGTGGAAAACGACATTTTAAAACACATGTTAAGACCTTATCCACAAGAAGTAAAAGGATAGCATTGTAGTGGCTGATATTACAGTATGGAATGGATACAACAGAAGCTAGCCAAAGCACTGATCTGCGGGGAGAGGACCAGGAATGAAACCCTTGTCCAGGTACTGCAACCCGAACACAACCACAATGCCAAGCAAAGCCAAAAAGGAAAGACCTTCAACGGCACCCAACAAGCCAAAAGGACCATTGGGAAGTCCAGAACCGGTCTTGGCTTTAGTGTACAGAGACCAACCCACTATGCCCACAACAACCAGGTAGCTCACTCCTTCCAGTGCACCGATTGAGCCACCTGGGCCGGGGGGCAAACCGCAACCGGTTGTTTTGAGAGTGTAGAGAGACCAAGCGATTACTGGGGTCGAAACTAATCCACCCCCTATGGCTGCTTTTTCAATGATGCTGCCACCCCCGTTGCTGCCGGCGTCGCTGCCCTCCTTCGCCATGCTCACTATTTTCAGCGGCGGAGGAGAACGACAACCGTGCCTTCTAAGTGACTCCGAAAAATGCTTCCTGCGCACCGCGTTGCAGGTCGATAGTGGCGACGACAATAACATCCTTGAAGCTTCCATGGTTCTGTGTTGTTGTGAAGAGTGAGAGAAAGCGGAAAAAAAAGTGATGAAGTTATCGTTGGATTTGGAAGAAGAGTAATATTCCGCAGCAATTATTATTAACAATAACCATAATTGTTTAATAATAATTAATATATACTATAAGTTAAAAAAATATATGCTAAACCCCTTTTAAACATTCTTCTAGTAACATATATATAAGTTAATAAACTTAATTTTCTAACCTCTTCCAAATTAAATATAGATAAAATTAAAAATATCATAGTGAAGTTATTAAAATAATATTAATTAAAAATTCTTATATTTAACTTTTTAATTATATTTTAAAGAAAATAAATTTATATAATATTAAAAATAAATAAATGTTTATATTTTAAATTTATCATTTTTTTTAAGTTGTTATTAAAGTCATGGATAATTGTCAAAGAGTATTCACATATTTTCAAACAGATAGAAATTAACCTTCTAAAATATAAGATGAATAATGATGACTAGATTGTGTCCCTGCATTTTCTTTTCTACCTAAACACACAACATAATTTCCACAAATTTTATTTAAATATACAATAATATAAATTCTCAATAATATAACTTATGAAATAACATCAACGAAAAACTTACTGAATAAATGAGTAATACAAGAATATATAAAATTATTTTAAAATAAACAATATAAAATTAACATTATTAAATAGGTGAACATATAATTTGAATTTATATTTTTTAATAATATAATAAACTATTAACATAAAATATGTTAATTAGTATCTATATTTTTTTTTAAATTACAACCATAATAAAAATTATTATCATTATTATAAAAAATATTATTAAGATTAAAATTAAAAAAGTTACAAAAACTTACCCTGAGACAAAAGAAATAAAATAAAAAGTATTACATTTTTATAAAAAATTAAAATATTTTACCTTTGGAAACAAATTTTTAAAAGTTTATATATAACAAATTTTTTGAACCGATAAAAACTCTAACTGAACTTAATGGCATAAAATAATCCTATTTTTGAACTAGTTCAGATGATACTTATTATTATGATGTGTTTTGATTTAATTTGATTTTTAATTAAATAATTATCTGAATCTAACTTAAAAAAATACTATGTAATTCTGTTTGATGCTAATTTAATGAATTTTTTTGAATAAAATTAAATAAAACATTATTCGATTTGGACTAATTTAATATCTTTTATTAGTAATAAACTATTAAACAATTAAGCAAAATTATAAAATATTTTCTTAAAAATTATATTTATAAAATATTATATGATTATAATTGTATTTATAGTTTTAATTTCTAAATTACTCAATCTTATAATTAAAAAATTACTGTCATATTTTTAATAATTATAAAAGTATTGTAAATAAAATACAATATACATAATTTTCAAGAGATATGATTATATATGTTTATTGATGGATAATTAACTTTAGATATATAATATTTGTATATAATAAAGATTTTAATTCAATTTGTATTTTTAAATTTAAAATGCAAACTAAACCGTTAGATTTTGAAAAATAAAATTTATAATAAAATTTTAATTTTGATCGATTTTCTATTTAAAAGATTATTTTTTGGATTGATTTTATAGGTATTGTTTAATCTTAAACTTAAATTTTCTTTTCATGTTAAAATTGTCAAATTTAAAAATAATATTTTTACTATATTATTTTTTTCAAAATATTTTTCAAATTATATATTCTAAAATTTATATTACTTTTTTATAGATCACTCTAAAATAAATTCTTCAATTACCGATTCCTTAAATCTTAAAAAAAAAAACTATTTTAAAACCTAATTATTTCACTTTCAACAAAACATGCAAAAATAATATTATTTTCCTTAAAATATATAAAATAGAAATAGAAATGATGAGAATTGGAAAAAAAATTCCTACAATTATTATCCCCTTCCCATTGCATTCTAAATAGAAAGGAAGAGAGTAAAACTTTATTTATACGTGCAGTGTCTATTGCATTATAATTTCTTTAAAAATCTGTTAAAATTTTATATCGAGAGTAAAAATATAATAAAATATAATATATATAAATAAGATAAAAACTTTACTTTTTGTAAGTTAAAGTTAAAAATAATTTATGAAATATATAATTTATTATTGGACTATCTATATCCTCTATGTGAAAAAGTGTATTGAGAGGTTTTCTCTTCCTTTAATGTACTTTCAATAATAAACAGGATAATAAAAAATATATTAAATCAAATTGTCACAATTTATTAAAAATATTAATGTAAATTTCCAAAAATTAGTATCAAATAAATAGAAAAATAAGTATGAGTAAAACAAGACAGAGTCATAGTTTGGTTCACAATGTTTGGCCTTTGAATACTTCTAATAGGATATGAAATTTCTGTTTTTGAGAGAAGGTAGTAGCGCAACAACTAAACCCCGATGAGACTAACGTTTCTTTGCCTTGCTTTGAGAAGTGACTAATTCATCTCTTCTGGAAGCACTGTCTTCAGGTGGAAGAGCCCATGATGGTGCACAATCTAGATCATACCAATAGTCATAAAAAATCTCATCACCAGCTTGAATGTTTTCCTTGGCAAATATGCCGACTCGATGATCTCCTCCAACAAGCATCACCTATGTAACCAATCCAAAAGTCCAATCATTTTGACCATTTCATAATGAAGTTCAATATGTTGAAACCAATGCGTAAGTTTCATATCTCCACATAACTGAGAATTTGCACTAACCTTTGCATAGCAGTTGGGTTTTGATGAATGGTTCGCAAATTTTAGTTTGTCTCCAAGGCGACGAGCATCAATAACCCACTATGAAAACACAAATAGGAGGTTAACGAGAGATGTGAGGGAAAAGACCTTAAAATGGCCAATTTCAAATTACAATATCTCAAAGAAATTAGTAGTTCTACAACTTCAAAGGTAAAAGGATTGGAAACTAGCTGTATAAGTATTCTATATATCTCAAAGGGTACTTTTTTACATGCCTATTATAGGATAGTCAACTTCAAAACAAACAAACAATTGATACCTTGATTCTAATTAATATTTCCTAACAATTTCCTAACAAAATCAGAAAACATAGATAAACTAAATGGAAAAAAAAAAAAAAAAACATCTACAAGATGAACATGGTAACTCTGTCCCTCAAAGTGATGCATAGATATCAGACATGCCAACTTGAACAATACTAAATAAAATGGACTACTAGGGATAGCATGATTAAACAACATTCCTTACACTTTTCAAAGTCAAATACACAATTAATTAGATAATGAAACACTTGCCTCATTATTGAGGTTAAAAAGGAAGGAAGTGTCGATACGATCATATAGTTTCCCACGTTTTTCTGCTTCTTCAGGAGGGATTAGTTCACCCGTGTACTCTCCTAGGCAAACACTTTTGTTAATTGGGTTCTGAAATGCATCACCAATTAGTTAGGAGAGCATGGTATCACATAATTCAAAAACAAATAGTTACAAAAATTTTCAACCTTTGCGAAGGCTCCCCATCCTGTAACATCCGACTTTGCCAAAAGAATCTAATAGATATTAGGAACACAGGGTCAGATACTCAACTATTCATCACTTTATTCATCGATGAAATACAAGTAATTTAAAGAGTGAAAAAAAAAAAAAGAATTAGAGTGTGTTTGATTTTTATTTTCAAAAACTATATCTGGTTTTCAAAAAAAATTCAACTAACTGAGATTACTCTACCAATTGCGGGAGAATGATGCAAGACACACAAAAGTGAGGAATTAAGTGGAAGATTGCATATCTCAATTATTTTTATTTCTGATTTTTAAAATAATGTTTTAAATTTAATGGATTTTGGATTAGAAATTGCTGGTTGAATAACATGGAATGTCTCGGAAAAATTAAAGCAAAAAAAAAATCAAAAGAGAATAAGACAAGTCTTTACTAACCCTCTCTTTTTGTCCTAAAAGAATATTCATATTTCCGCATTTACCATCCCCACGTCGAGGTGGCTCCCCTAATGAACCATCACCGCAACTGCATAAAAAAATGTCATGCTAATCAATTCCTTTGTCTTAAAGTTCAAGTGGTTAAAGCAATTATGATGCCTTTAACTGATATTATTTAAACAAAGGAATATGTTCTGAAACCAAGATACTTATCTAAATTTGAAATAGACAAAATTACAAGATAATTGTATTTTTTGGCCCTAAAAAATATACAAGATATGCAAATATGGTTCATTTTCTTGAACTAACATATGCTACTGAATTATTAGGATCAAAATCTTTACCTTAGTTATGACTTTCTCAACAACGTGAAGTAAACTATAGGAAATATATTAAAAAGAAAAAGGGTAAATAAATCACGCTAGATGTACAAATAAATAAATAAATAATGATATTACCTAATCCAACAATTTCGACAGACATCTGGGTCACATTCACGATTGGCTGCAAAGCACGGACATAATCGACTTCTGCATTGACTCTTAGTACAATGACACCCTCTGAATCGATTTTTGCATTGCTTTGAACACCTACAAGTAGAAATAAGAAAAGCCAATTTATCACAATTTATGTTGAGAATGATTTTTCATGCTTTGCCAAGCATGGATTTTTCTAATAGCTTTTTGTCCACATATGTCTCTTGTAGCACTCCAAGAAAAATCTCGCAAAAAATGCTTAGGAAAAATCATACTAAATGTGAAGAAAGAAGTCCCACATCGGTGGGAACTTCAATTGGGAGGCTCTCCTCCCTCTTATAAAAGGAGCTCCTCCCTCCTTATTTCAACATCCCAAAATTTCTTTCCTTCTCTAAGTATTAGAAAGTGTTGTCATTCTTAGGACTAGAGAAGGGGTATGTAATTTTTCTTTCTATTATAAAATTTCCACTTTTGTCTATTATTGCTATTCAATTTTTCTCATCTCTATTTTAGTTGAGTTCTTGTGCAAGTAGTCTGATACCTAATAGTGGTATCAGAGCTGCGTTCGAGTCCCGTTGCGCTAGTCACTAGAATAGTGTTGGTAAAATTCTGAGTATGCTCTGTGGTTGCAGTTTAATCTGATCTTCCACATCAGAAAGGAATTGTTACTGGAAAAGGTGTGGTAGTGTGAAAGTACTATTGAGGAAAGTTCTGGCTAGGAAAGACTTGGTACTTAAGCGTGTCCATTAGTGACCCACCTCTATTTCCTGGGAACCTACTTGGTGTACTGGTTCACGGTTTACTACTATTGTTCCAGTAGACAATACTATTCATAAGTGAGAGTTGCATAAGTGGAAACACAACCATGGCAGCAAAGTATGAGATAGAGAAGTTTAACGGGAACAATTTCTCGTTATGGAAATTGAAGATGAAGGCAATTTTGAGAAAGGACAATTGTCTTGATGCAATTGAAGGAAGACCCGCAGAAATGACGGATCAGAAGTGGAAGGAAATTGATAGCAACGCTATTGCAAATTTACATTTGGCAATGACGAGACTCGGTTCTATCCGGTGTTGCGGAGAAAGATTACGCAAAGGAGATTTGGGATGCCCTCATTAAATTATATGAGGTGAAGTCACTTCACACAAGGATATTCTCGAAGAGGAAACTCTATACTCTTCGGATGAGTGAGTCCACATCGGTGACGAACCACATCAACCAACCGAACACCTTGTTTGCCCAATTAGCGAGCAGCAAATTTCAACATAATTGAGAATGAGCGTGCGGAGCTTTTACTTCGAGCTTGCCGGACTCGTATGATCAACTCATCATCAACATTACAAATAATAATATTGAAGGACAACTACACTTTGACGATGTTGCGGAGCTATTCTAGAAGAAGAATCCAGGCGAATGAATAAGGTAGAAAGTTCTAAACAAGCGAAGTTTTGACGATGATGAGAGGAAGATCAACGAAACATGGCTCAAGTGGGAGTCAAGATCATGGCGGATCGAGCTCTCGAAACAAGAAGACTTTCAAATTTAAATGTTACTACTTGTGGCAAGAAAGGGCACACGAAGAAAGAGTGTTGGAAGAGGAAGAATGAAGAATCAACCTCACGGGGTTGCGTTGCGAGTACTTCGGAGGAAGGAGTAATTCGGTAGCGAAGCGACAATCAACTCTAATGGCGGAAACGAATTTCATGACAAGTGGATAATGGATTCGGGTGCAACTTGGCACATGACCCCACACCGAGATTGGTTTCAAACCTACGAGCCTATCTCAAGTGGATCCGTGTTCATGGGAAATGACCATGCATTAGAGATTGCTAGAGTTGGTACTGTCAAATTAAAAATGTATGACGGTACTATTCGTACAATCCAAGAAGTACGACATGTGAAGGACTTGAAGAAAAATATATTGTCTATAGGGCAATTGGATGACCTCGGCTGCAAGATCCATGTTGAATGAGGAATCTTAAAGGCAGTGAGGGGAAACATAGTTGTCATGAAAGCGAGAGAAAATCATGGCAAACTTGTATGTGCTTATGGGAGACACCTTGCAAGAAAATCATGCAACAAGCTGCGTCAACAAGCCAAGAAGAAGCGGCGGTAACGTGGCACCGTAGACTTGGACATATGTCGGAGCGAGGTCTGCAGATTCTTGCGGAACGTGATCTCATACCCGGGCTCAAGAAGGTCGATTTACCCTTCGTGAGCATTGTGTGACAAGCAAACAACACGGGTTGAAGTTTGCAAGAACCACCACAAGGAGTAAGCAAACTTTGGACTTGATCCATTCGATGTCCGGGAATCGCCGGAATTATCTCTTGGAGGAGCAAAATATTTTGTGTCATTCATCGATGACTACTCGAGGAGATTATGGGTATACCACTATCAAGAAGAAGTCCGAAGTATTTGCGCGGTTCAAAGACTTCAAAGCACAAGTAGAACTTGAGACCGGAAGGAGAATCAAGTGTTTGAGGACAGACAATGGAGGAGAATATGTAGATGGAGATTTTCTAGCATTACGCAAGCAAGAAGGAATTGTGAGACAATTTTACGTTCCACACACGCCTCGCGAGAATGGTGTAGCAGAGCGGATGAATAGAACTCTTCTAGAGAGAACCGAGCTATGCTTGCAAGCTGCGAGCATAACAAAGTCTTTTTGGGCGAAGCCGTGAATACTGCCTGTTACTTGATAAATCGGTCTCCATCAACAACAATTGGGTTGAAAACTCCTATGGAAATGTGGAGTGGAAAATCAACCGATTATTCTTCCTTACATGTGTTCGGTTGTCCCGCGTACGTGATGTACAACACCCAAGAAAGGACGAAGTTGGATCCAAAATCCAGGAAATGCATCTTCTTGGGATATGCTGACAATGTGAAGGGGTATCGCTTGTGGGATCCCACTGCCCACAAAGTTATTGTTAGCAGAGATGTCGTCTTTGCAGAAAATGAACTACAAAGCAAGCAGATAAATGACAGCTCGAAAAAGGACAAGACTATAGTACGAGATAGAGAAGAAGACTTCGGAACATTCCTCCGAGTCGGAGGAGGAGCATGAAGAACATGAGCCAAATGAGGTGGAAGAAGGAGAACTCCGACGATCAACAAGAGAAAGAGTCGGACCATCTTGGCATTCACAATATGTGATGGCAAGTCATGATGCGTATTGTCTCCTAAGTGAAGAAGGAGAACCTTCAACTTTTCAAGAGGCCGTGAGTGGTTCGAAGCTCCTCTATGGATGGGCTGCTATGGAAGAAGAAATTGAAGCTCTTTATAAAAACAAGACATGGCATCTTGTGGAACTTCCAAAAGGTCGCAGAGCCATTGGTTGCAAATGGGTCTATAAGATCAAGAGAGATGCCAATGATCAAGTGGAAAGATATCGTGCTAGGCTCGGTGGTAAAAGGATATGCTCGGAAAGAAGGCATTGATTTCAACGAGATATTCTCACCGGTTGTTAGATTGACAACAATCGAAATTGTCCTGGCGATGTGTCTTGCATTTGATTTACATCTTGAGCAATTGGATGTAAAAGCTGCTTTTCTTCATGGAGAACTTGAAGAGGAAATATATATGCTCCAACCGGAAGGCTTCAAAGAGCAAGAAAACTTGGTTTGCGGGTTGAACAAATCTCTATATGGTCTAAAGCGGCGCCAAGGTGTTGGTATAAGAGATTTGATTCCTTCATTATTAGCCTCGGATACTACGGACTAAGTTCGGACCATTGTACTTACCACAATAGGTTTGAAGAAAATGATTTCATCATATTGTTGTTGTATGTGGATGACATGTTGGTGGTAGGCCCTAACAAAGCTCGAATCCAAGAATTGAAGGCATAATTGGCTAGGGAGTTTGATATGAAGGACTTGGGACCAGCAAACAAGATTTTAGGGATGCAAATTCACCGAGACGGAAAAGATAGGAAGATTTGGCTTTCTCAAAAGAATTATTTACTTAAGATCTTGCGGCGCTTCAACATGCAAGATTGCAAGCCAATTTCTACCCCACTTCACGTCAACTGTAAGTTATCCTCAAGTATGAGTCCTAGCGAGTGAAGCGGAGAGGATTGAAATGTCTCGAGTACCGTATGCATCAGCGGTGGGAAGTCTTATGTATGCAATGATTTGTACAAGACCGGACATTGCACAAGCAGTGGGAGTGGTTAGTAGATTCATGGGGAATCCTGGTGGAGAGCATTGGCAAAATGTGAAGAGGATCCTTAGGTATATAAAAGGAACCTCAAATGTTGCATTATGTTATGGAGGATCGAAGCGGTTGTTAGAGGCTATGTTGATTCGGATTTTGCAGGTGATCTGGATAAAAGGAAGTCTACTACTCGGTTATGTGTTTACCATCAATGGAGGGGCGAGTAAGTTGGTTATCCAAGTTACAAGATGTGGTAGCTCGTCTACTACGGAAGTTGAATACATAGGCTGTCACCCAAGCATGTAAAGAAGCTATTTGGATTAAAAGAATAATGGGGGAACTTGGTCACAAGCAACAACAAATTGTTGTGTACTTGTGATAGTCAAAGTGCCTTACACATTGCAAGGAATCCAGCCTTTCATTCGAGGACAAAACACATAGGAATAAGATATCATTTTGTTCGAGAAGTAGTAGAAGAGGGAAGTGTAGATTTACGGAAGATCCACACCGAGAAGAACCTAGCAGATGTAATGACAAAGCCGGTTAATGCTGACAAGTTTATACGGAGTCGATCCCTCTATGGCCTATCGAAAGCATAAGCAACATGGATGTGAGAGAAGAAGACATAGTGTAAAGATTTGATTAATTTCATCAAAATCTTCAAGTGGGAGATTGTGAAGAAAGAAGTCCCACATCGGTGGGAACTTCAATTGGGGGGCTCTCCTCCCTCTTATAAAAGGAGCCCCTCCCTCCTTATTTCAACATCCCAAAATTTCTTTCCTTCTCTAAGTATTAGAAAGTGTTGTCATTCTTAGGACTAGAGAAGGGGTATGTAATTTTTCTTTCTATTATAAAATTTCCACTTTTGTCTATTATTGCTATTCAATTTTTCTCATCTTTATTTTAGTTGAGTTCTTGTGCAAGTAGTCTGATACCTAACACTAAATAATATATGTAGATCTCCCTTGTTGGACTTGAATCTTCAAATTCGATACCCCATAAATATTGTTAGAAAAGTAATTCAAATGGGCCCTAACATGACCGTGGGAAATATATAAAATGTCCTGCAACTCTTGGTCTATTTCTATAATAGAAAAAGGGATTGGAGGATATAAGTAAATGAAAATTCACATACCCACAATATTTTTCACAGCAAGTTCCATTAAGAAGACAAGAGCATTCCTTTCCACACAGTCCATGACACCCACAAGGAGTATATTGCTTATTACACTTATTTTGCCCATAAGCAATTTTTCTCCACCTAGGTGGGAGACCAGCAGACTTTCGAATATAGTTGAACTTCTTAGGTTTGCACTTTTTCCGTTGTGACCTCAATCTTGTTGATGCCACTTCTAGGTCCTACCAAAGTTACCCAAATTTCAAATCAAAAGTTGTTTGAAGCCATCTAAATAACATACCATTACAAAATTATATTGAAAATACAAAAAATTGAACACTCAAAGATTATGCTTTAGTTTTAATTAATTTAAAAAGTTCAGTAAGACAAGTATGCTACAATAATACTTAGCTACCAAGAGTTCAATGGTGCAATGGCTATACACATGCACATCTGCTCAAAACTGCAACCTAATGTATGTATAACCATAAAGCACCTTCCCCTGAGCAATGATATTTTTCTTGCTATTTGAGCAATTGCAATACATTTCAAAATATGTTAATGTGCCTATTTATATTTTGTTTACTCAATAAATTGTATTATAACTATTTTGCGAAATGTTAATTTTCCATCATCATCATCATCAAACAACTCCCACATCTCCAGAGAAATAATTAAGTCAATAGATGAAAACACAAAGAAGATAGGGATAGAAATAGTAACTCTCACTGTGCACTCTGCATTGGTCCTTTCATTTCTATCCATGATTGAATTTGAAGTGGATGCATGGAACACTGACTCTCCACCAGCAAACATATACTTAGCTACTTGAGAGCAAGTCTTCAAGCCAGGAAGTAAGGTAGTGGCTATAAGGCAACTGCAAAGTGTGAGTAGCAATGCATAAGCAAAAACATAAATAAATAACAATCATAATTAGTTAAATATATTAAGAAAAACGTCTTTAAAAAATGTCTCATTGTTCATATTTTTTTGGATCAGCTGGCACTACTTTAGACAACAACAAAAAAAAAAACATACCAGATATAAAACATAGAACATTCATATGCACGAGATCTAGGGATTGTTCAAATTCATGAAGTGATTCTATAGTGTTCTATTTGTTAGAGGCTGATTCAACAACTTGAACCTAAAATCTTCAAGTTTCAAGGTGACAACTCTAACCATTGTCATTGCCTTCGTAGACACAAACACACACTTAGCATAATTTAATACCACCATTTCTCAACACAACACAAGTTTAATAATAATCTAATTACTTAACATGATTCAAATGTTTTAAGCGTGAGAAACTCCATACCTATTTTTTCCAAAGATTTCTACTCCCTTCAAATATAAATCTCTCTCAAGTGGTCTCCAATCTGATTCACTTATCATCTCATCAGCTTGCACTTCCCTTGAAATGGACATCTCATTAAATTCTATCTCCTTCATAAGATCTGTTTGTTCACTCATAACTCCTTTGTCCTGCTCACTGTGGTCAAAGCTACCAGAAACTGACAATTTCTCTGAAGCATGCTCAACAAGATCTTTCAAAGATGCACGACATGTTGTGTGGTTTTCTTTGTCACCAGCATCCAAATTTAGTTCACTGTACTGATTCCCAATTTTGATAATGGTATCATCTGAGATTCTATTCAGCTTACAAGAACTCTGAGCCTCATTAGGAGGCAATGTGGAGTCCTCTTCCATTGGTGTAACACTTTTATCCTGAAAACATTGAGCTGAATATTTTAACCGAAATCCTGACATCCTTTAATTGTGAGAAAATGAAATGGAGACCAATTCACAACTTGCGCACTGGTTTCATCAAACATATAACAAACGTAGATAAGGTGGTGCTTTTGCAGGTATATCTATACATATAATTTTCTTACATGGATGGAAAACATTTATTATATTGAAGAATTTATGGCAATACAAGTTAACATATTACCTATCATCAAGGATGCAACCTGGAATCTATTAGGAGGTACATATATATATTGCTTTATAATATTTAAATATCTGACATATATTAAAAAAATTAACAAATAATAACTACAAAAAAAATATTGTTTTTACACACAAATAAATTTATAATATAATGACAATAATTGAAAATCCTCATATTATATAATAATGATTATATATATATATATATATATTAAGAATAATAACTAATATATAAATACATAAATCTATAATATGTTTTGTGGAAGTCACATTTACTACAAAACAATTATTATTAATTTTTATTAGGTTACATTAATCTTTATTAACCCTTATATACATATACAAAATTCTATATATATATATATATATATATATATATATATTAAGAATAATAACTAATATATAAATACATATATTATAATGTCTAGTGGAAGTCACATTTACTTAAAAAAAAATTACTATTAATTCTTTGTAGGTTTCATTAATCTTTATTAACCCTTATTAATAGCATATACAAAACATATAAAAGAATAACATGGAATGGAAGTAATTCAATCTTGCTACTTTAATAAAACAATAATCATTGGCCAAGTAATCAGATCAACCAACAGCAAGAAGAAGAATACCAGAAGGTAACATTGATCACTGCATGGTTTCCTACCACCTTCAGGTTCAGACCAGATATGTTGTTTTTCGCTCTGGAAAGTAAATCATGATATTATTGACGATGGAGTTGGGAACACATTAAAATTGAAAAGAACAAAAAGCATTGCTACTTACAAGATGTATTAAAGGTTGATCCGTGCCATGGATAGCACAGTCAAAGATCTGCTCGAGGAGATTATAAAACCATAGATAGATACATATTATTTAATTAATATCATAGTAAACATCATGGCAATGACAAGAATATTAAGCAGATAATGTTTTAGGATGTACCAAACATCGACGACAGAAGAGTTTATCAAAAGTTTCTAAAGTCCCACTCAAACTTTTCTCCAAACATATTCCAAGATGATTTTCACATCCTTTACAATGACAATCTTTAGAATTTTGATCCAGACTCTCCATATTCTTTTCCTTTAGTTTTTCATACCTCTCCTGAACATTTTAATAAAGAGAAAAAAAATCTCCAAAACGTAAAATGATTGTTCAAAATATTCATGATTAATAATTAGGATTAATAAGCATCAAATAGATAATCATGTCCATAAGTTATTCTAGATTACCTGAATTTGGGAAGCATTCGTCTCAAAAATATCTTTAATGATACTCAATACCTCCTTAGTAGACCCATATTCCTCGAGTGTCATCCTAATATTCAAGACTCAAGATAGTTATTTTAGAATAGAGAAGCTTTAAATATTTGAATAAAGTAGAAAAATAATACCCGATAAGTTTAAATTTGGTATTCATTTTAGGTATCTTGTGTGATGATGATAAAGTTCTTATTTCCTATTTATTGAGGAAGGAAAACCAGTAGGTCCCCTATTTTACTCTACAAACAAGTGTGTAAATCAAGAATTTATATGACTCAACAAAAATTTCAGTAAGGATCTTCAGCTCTTGTTGTAATTACATTTTATCTCCATAAACAAATAGAACTACTACATGCAAGTACAGTATCAACATCTTCATTTACCTCAAGATTTGGTCTTCAGCCTCGGTGAATTCATGCTTGACTTCCTTGGTTTCTGGCTTCTCCTCCTCATTATCACTGCATATCATCATTTCACCTCTACTTTGATCATAGTACATTTGGTATTTTCCGATAACTGATTGTTCTTCGTCCATTTTCTCATTTCTGTTCAATGTGAAAAATCATGAAAAGTAAAAAACTACAACTGCAAGTGAATTTATCAATAATATTCGAGAAGGAAGTTTCTATTTTAAAAGAAAACACAATTCAAGAAGCATGTAATTTTTGCCTATTACAAAAATTTTATTGGACATTTGTAGAAACTAGATCAGAAACTAAAGAAAAAGAAGAATTTCTAGCAGAAGAAAGAATGACACAATGTTTTTTCCCATAATGTAAGATATTAAAGCAAATAATAGCTCTAGTTCTTCAAGAGACTAGACTTTGTTAGATTTTTCAAGGGAATTTCATCGAGGAGAAATAATACTAATAAAACATGAATTCAACTTATATAAGAATTTAACAATATCTTCAACCTAAAATTTTAGATTTTAGGATATTCAGTTATCAGTTTTTCTTTTTTTATAAGATGTTTAGCTTTTTTATTTTCAGTGAACGTGGAATTTACCTTCATGCTTGGATTACCTAACATAATCCTCCCAACAATGTATTTCCCGTCCTTTGTTCCTTCTTTTTGCTTAGTTTGTTTTTATACGAACCTCTCTTAACTAATTCCTAACTACTTGTAACTCGCATCACATAACTTTATTTCCATTTCCCTTATTTCTTCTCTCATAAACCTTTGTAACAGAGGACCACATCCTATCAATACCTCCCCATTAAGATGCATCTTGTCCTCAAGGTGGAACTGCAGAACATTTTCAGAAACTTCTCCCGGCAACTTTCAACTTCTGATAGTTGTGGCCACTTAACAAAAAATTCCGGTTGACCAACATCATTTATTCTGCAATCTAGGATCTGGAAACACTTTCAACTTGCAATCTTCATTTAGTACTACAGGAAGGGGTTGAGACCTTTGTGTAGGATGTATAGCCTCCTTCAAAAGTGCCATATGGAATACAGAATGAATTTTAAAATGAGGCAGAAGTTCCATCTAATAAGCTAATGCACCTACGTGGTTAGGATTATGTAAGGACCACAGTAATGTAAACTCAACTTCTCATTCAACTTTTTAGCCAATAATCTTCTTGGAAAGTGGACTTTAAACCTAACTCAACCTCATAAAACCATCTTATAAAATAAGGTTTGTACTCATTTATGTACAATAATTTGATTATATCCCTAGTCTAAGATTTCTATAATACCCTTTCACGCCCAGGATTATACATCTTGAGCGCGAGACTAAGTATTTGTGGATAGTTTGATAAAGTTTAATATCAGGTTAGACGATAGAGTTAACAAATCATTTTAAGATAAACTTTGATACCATCTTACAAGATAGACTTTTAACTCGACTACACAAAACCGGTTTGTAAGACAAAGTGTACATACACTTATATAAAACAATTTGACCATATCTCTAGTTAATGTGTGATTTTCAACGAATCTCATCCCACCTGATTGTAATTTTAGATACACCCTACTCCCAACCTCAAATTGGACATCTTTACAATGATGATTTGCATATTTTTTGTCGTTTGATCTTGGGATTCCAACATATTCTTTCTTAACTTCCTATACAATGTGTCCAATTTGTTGAGTAAACTAGGTAATCTTTTCAACTTGAGAAGGAACAGTGGTCCCTCACAATAAGGGAGGAGGGTCTACGCCATAAAGCTCTCTAAAAGAAGACATTTGTATAGATGCATTATAATTTATGTTGAACCAAAACTCTGACCAACATAATAAATTATTTTGACCCTAATGCAGAGTAAATACGACTTCAACCCCAAACATTTAAATCAATTATTGGAATTTAAGTATGAATTGAAGTTTTACATTAAGTAGAAATAAAAAAATTGAATAATATATAAGTAAGAAAAATTAACCAACCTAATGTCTTATGGTTTTGAATTTAAAATGAAGTCATATTCTTTTATATGATTTCTTTATGTCTCATTTATGAATACCGGCGAAATGTTCTTCTCCTCACAAATATTAATAGTAGTATTAGATTCAATAAAACATCCTAGTTATCGACTTCTTGCAAAAACCCAACAGTTAGAGGCAAAACCAAAAAATTAGTTTTAGGGGATCAATCCAAACAAATAATATTTTAGGAGGGCTATAGTATATTTTCTTAATAAAATCTTATTTTATTTTTTTTTGGGACGGTGGCCCTTACCAATCTCTCCTCCATCCGCCCCTACCAACGATGATATCAGACTCAATGGTTCATCTTGGTGATCAGTTCAGGAGAAGAGTGTACGAATGTGTTGGGACTCAGAAAGGAGAGTTTAGAATCAAAGTATAAGTTAAAGTATCATATTAAGCGAGAAATAAGAAAATTGAGTAATATATAGGTAAAAAAGATTCATCAACCCAATGTCTTGAGTAGAAATTTTCAAATCCAAACCAAGTAAAACTAATTTTTTACTTTTGGATATTTTGGATTGAAATTTTTTAAAACGATTCGATTCAATTTTTGGTTTGATAATCAAGAATCAACCTGAACCAAACTGAAATTATAATAAATACTATTGAAATTAAAATATAAAATGATCCTTATTGTGAATGAGTCAATTAGTTTCTTATAATTTATGACATGTATTATTATTTCTTGAATATGAAAACATAAGAAAATAAGTTGAAACTATGAATATTATAATTAATTATGCATTATGCTTTTATGATATCTTTATAATATGTTTAATAATTTTAAAATAAAAAAGCTGCAAAAATCGTCCAAATCAAACCGCAAAATATTGGTTTGGTTTGGTTCAAATTAAAAAAAATGAAAATAAAACCAAACCGCACTCTTAACCTTAATGTTTTTCCGTGTGTCCTATTGGTGAATATCAACCTAATGTTGTCTCCCTCGTAAATACCCAGCAACTCATGAAACCTGTGTTGAAGATATTGTCTAAAAACATCACAAAAGTTAAGCCCTCTTGGCCGGCTTTATTTGAGTCCACCAATTCGATTTTGTAGGATTAAGTTGGACATCTCTCCATTTCTAATATGGTATAAGAGCTTATCTAGCAAGGTTTATTGGTCTAATAATCCGCTCATTACCAGGCCGATATAAGACCACCTTAATATCTAGTTCCATGCTCTCGATATGTTCATTCATTAGTATGAGGAGGTGTGTTAAAGATCCTACATGACTAGAGATAAGAATAACTGATAATAAATAATTAAGATACAAACTTCACTTTGCAAAACAATTGGTCGGATTGAGTTAGACATCTTTTAATTTCTAATAGAGATGAAATCCGACTAACAATGCAGGTAGAAAACAAAAAACAATAAAGAACATTACCTAATTGACATGACTCACAACATAAATATTCTAACTAGGAAAGATTAGATGTTATCTATTTTAGCATATCAAGACTTTGATGTCTTAATTGATCATAAACCAATAATAGGAATGTTATCATTGATCCAAGAAGAGAAGGCCTATAGAGACCATGAGACTCATTTGTGAAGTCAATTGTCCCCTCCGTCCCATTTTTGTAAAAAAAATAACACAATTAAAAGATCTAGTAAGTTTAGGGATGGAAAAGAAATCAAAGGGAGTCCAAGAACCTAAAAAACATTTTGAATAAAAAGAAAGGGAAGAGGATGGACAATACTAATAACTCGAGACTGTGTTTGAGAACCATTGGTCATGACGACAAAAGGTAAATAACAAGTATAAAGAGAAGAAAAAGAAGATTTATTACTAATTATATGTTTAGTGACCCCAAAATCAAGGACCACGGTCCAAAGCATGAGCAATGCCGCCAAAAGAGTAACCCATGTGTACAATAAAAGTAGTGGAACCAGTGCTTAACAGTTCCAATATCGTTGAAGAAAATTGATAAGATTGTTGATGGCATGTTGAGCAAAGCGAACTCTACAAGAATAGAATATTTAGGAATAAAGTTTACCACATTAATTAACCAAGTTTGTGGCAGTGGTTACACATGAATTATTTTTGCAAGAGAAACCAGAATCACTTCCTTGTGAGATTACGGATGAAGAGGCAGTCGGGTAGGTGGCACAAGAGCAAGACTAATTGTTTAGTCAGTTATGGCTTTAATAGGAATGCAAATCAAAGAGGACCAAACAATAGTCATAGTGTTAATCGTGAACCAAAGTGTACTTTGCACATAAAGCATCAAGCTATTAACACACAAAAATATTGGGTAATCTAAGTGTGATTCTAAGTATCACATTATATAAGTATGAAGTTTGAGCAACATATAAGAAAATATGACTCATAACCCAATATCTTAAGATTTTTTGTTGAGAATGATGTCAATACCTTATGTGGTTAGACTCATGTCTCATTGGTGTTGATCGACAGTTTAAGAATGATATTTATATTGAAAGTTTGACAATGGGTTAGGTAAACGTCGAGGGGATGTATCAATGTGGAGGACTCACATTTGAGAGGGAAATTATTGAGTAATCCAACTTGAGTTTAAGTCTTATATTGAATAAGAAGGAAGTATGACTTATAATTCAAATCTAATACAAAGTCCAAGATTCTCTAATTTGTTGACTAGGGTTGCTGGATGAAGAGGAGGTAGATGTTCATTAAAATCATGAAGAAGACCATGACCGACGTAGCTCAACATGGTTCCATCAAGTGTTAACACACTCTATAAAGATTTTTTATGTTATTTTTGAAAATCAACTAGGCTTGTGTCTAAACCAATTCAAACGTGTCAGAGGAGCGGAAAATCTATTTGATAGCAGGATGAATGGTAGTCTTGATGTCATAACAAGTCTCACATTGGGGAGGTTATAACAAATCCTATGTTAAGGAGGTCTCCTTATTAGGAATGCCTTATAAGGTAGGAGATTATCTAACCTTTGAGCTAGCTTTTGAGATATAATTCCCCTCCTTGACCTTCTGGTTATTGCATGACCCCCACAAAGTTGAGTTTCAATTTGCTCCATTTTGGTCAGTCAATTTCGGCCACAATTTTTTCTTTAGTAGTGAGATGGTCAAAGAATTGTAGATATTGTCATCCAACTTGTGAGTAGATACTGGGGCAGTGACAAAATTGGTGAAAACAAGTTCATCAGGTTTTGAAGTTGTCATGGATTAAGCTCGGAGAGGGAGAGAAAAATAGTCAAATAGTGTCAAAACAACCAATAAGAGAATAACCCGACAAACATAGAATAGTCACCCAAATAGATGATAGTCGGTTAAACAGAAGATATTAGCCAAATAGTGTCAAAATGGAAGAAGGACTACAAATCCAAAGCCAGCATATCGGGGTGATTCTAGTTGGGAAAAAAAAATGCTGAAAAGCTAGTAGTTAGGAACAAAAAGAGCAATCGGAAGATATTCTAAAATAATTTACATCTATAAACAATGGGCCATACGTTCCTTCTCATTAGGTTCTTGGTAACATGAGAAGAGACAACGGAGTTGTTCCATTTTTACGAGAAAGAAAATAATTGCATTCGAGGAAGATTATGTTTGGTCTTTCAACAAGGATTCACTGGAGAGAATACGAGGAGAAACAACATAAGAGTTCAACTTAAATAAGATATTGACATCAATTTTAATGAAAAATCTTAAAATATTGAATTATGGATTATTGGTAATGAGTCTTTCTTGCATATTATTCAACTTTCTGGTTCTCACTCAACGTGGACTTAAAATCACAATTAAATTTCCGTACTCCAATGCCTCTAATGGTGACTCCATCATTCTTGTGTTCACCATGAGTAATACCCACGTAGCCTTGAAAGAGCTCTGATCCAATTTTATAGAAAGGGGACCAGAAGCTCAAAAAAGATTAATTTCCAAAAGAAAGAATGAAACAGTGTTTATTTGCAAACTGTAAGATATTTCAGAAAAGAATAGCTCTGATTCTTTGATGAACCAGAATCCTTCCTGACAATATATTTCCCTCCTTGTTTGCTTCTCTCTCCCTAGTTTATTTTTATACAAATCTCTCTTACTCTTACTCTTAATTTCTAACTACTTGTAACTAACATCAAATAGCTTTATTTCCATTTCCCTTATTTCTCCTCACATAAACCTTTGTAACAGGGGGCGGCATCTTATCAAAACATTTATCAGGATAGAAAAATAGTGTTGAAACTGCAAAGCAAAGTCAAACACACCTGGCCACATATACCCAAGACGTATATGGTGGTAATCTTTCCTTCTTTGGAATCCTAACACTATCTGCTGATGATATGTCCACATTATTGATCTGATCCTCCTCTAATGTAGCTTCATGGAACCCAATGAGTTTACATATAGGGTGGTCAATTCTCAAAGACAGCATATTGACGTTTTCCCCAGCCTGCAAATACTCATTCCCTGATAATACAGTCTTAACCGTTGGAAAAAAAGGCTCAAGGTTTCTCCAGTGTCTTTGAACTTTCTCCTGTGGAACACAAATAAGATTAATTTCATGCCAACAAGCACTGCATTCAAAACAAGCCATTCTCAATTAGGAATGTATTTAAAAGGGGGCAGGCAAGGGCCTTAGCCCCCCATCTCAGGATTTATATGTGTACGTCCCATACATATGTTCATAATTGTTTTATTTGATTACTTGGATAATGATACAACTTTTTGAATTAGGAAGATTCAATGACTTGCATTCCATATTAGTCTTTTATGTGCTTTTTATACGCTATTAAAGAAAGGTTAATGAAGATTAATGAAACTTAATAGGAATTACAAATAATCATTTTGCAGTAAATGCGACTTCCAAAATATATATATAATCATTGAATTCGATGACTTTCAACCAAGTTGCAAGCAAATTTTTAATTTTCAATATTTGTTTTAAACTTTAGGCACTGTCCAGTTTCCACAGAACAAAACAAGAAGAACTTGCAGACTAATTCTACAAAATTAAATTAATAACATTGCCAATGGTAAAAAAAAAAAAGACAAAAAAAAAGAGAGAGAGAATTATTTTGAGGAATCAAGTCATGCAATTGTAAACTTAGAGGACTTTTTCATTTTAATTTTTCTTGTTTAAAAAATTGTTGTATACACAAATTCATATTACTCAAACCAATTTCTGATATGTTTTAAAAATAAAAAACAGAACAATTGAGAAATGTTTTCTCATATTTTATCTATTCGTTAAGAGCATTGTTTGGGTGTCCAGGAGACAATTTTTTAGAAAATGTAAATCGGTTTTAAATATGCAAGCAATTAAATTTCAAAAAATACAAAAGTATTTTTAAAAATATTAGAGAAAAAGGCCTTACTTTAACTGATTCCCCTCTCTCGGCATGGAATTGATCTGTCAACACTTTAATCTTGGTCTTCAGAGTTCTTCTAGTAGCATCTTTTGCTGACCTTCCCTGTTGTTTCTGTCAATTTTACAGCATGCAACAACCTTACAAAGATTGCACCAAACATCCAAATACACAAAATTCCATTTTTTTTACATAAAAATAAAATCAAATAAAATCGCCTCCACAAAATCATGTTTGGTTGCGCCAGAAAAGCAGGTATGGATCGCGAAGTTCAGTCCTTATGTGAACAACGCTCATTTATCAAAGGATCTATCAGTAACCAAACATTGAGTGAATTTTCCGAACTAAAATGTCACTTGCACTATTTGTGCACACAAAACTAGAGGTACGTAGTTTATTTGCAGGCATACTTTCATCTAAAGAAAACATGAAAACATACTTTCCTCTTAGTTCAATTCTGAACCATCGTTGTGATACGATTTCAAAGAAATGCAAACAGAAAAAGAAAAAAACACAACAAAATAAAACATGTGAATGAAAGGAATTGGAGAAAATGAGAAAACATAGGATTGAAGAAAGAGATACAAACTTGATGTTTGGAGGCAGGGTTAGGAGTTTTGTTCACCATGGATGCACACAAAAGATTGATCAAAGGAGAAGGAATGAGAGGAGTGGGGTGATGAAGGAGATGAGAGGAGTGAAGTGATGAAGCAGAGTGAAGGAAGAGTAACTCTCTTCAGAAATGAGTTGTCATACCACAAACATTGCATAATATCTGGTGCCGTTTCATGCGCAACTTATTATTTCCTTTCTACGTACCGCGTTGGGACCACCACTCTCAACCTCAACGTTTTTTCCCACCCAAAACAATAGACTAGTTTGTTTGTTCTTATGTTTTAAAACAAGTGCTTATTTTAATAAATTAAGCACATTTTAATCAGTTTTCTAATTATTTTAATCAGAAAACACTGTTTATTTCTTAAATAAGTGTTTTTGTTTGAAAGTTTAAACAAACTGGCCTAATATTTGAAATTAATTTCTATTTACAATGAGTGGAAGAATTTTATAATATTAGTTAAACAAAATTTGTTGTTAAATAAATTTTAAGCAAATTATTATAAAAGTCCACAAACTTATAAATTTGGGTGGATTCAGAACATCTCTTTTCAAACATGATCACTCCAGATGCTTTTTTAATTGACACTTCAATAGGAATTTTATTAAATAAAAATAAATAAATTTAATATATTAAAATATAAAACACATTTATTATTTTCCCTTTAAATATACTTTTGAATACATAAATTTTCTCACAATTGAATAAGTATTGAATGAAAGAAAATTAAATTTATAATATTTTTAGAATTTTTCATTTGCATTACCCTTTAAACAGAAACAAAATTTAATACTTGCATCTTTTTATTTAATTTAATTTAAATTAACTAAATCTGGACTTAATTTCCATGCATTGCTTGTGTGAATTTTTATAGATTATCATTTAATCAAAACTTACAATATATATATATATATATATATATATATATATATATATATATATATATATATATATGTATAACAGTTTAAAAATAAGAGACAATATACGAAGAATAAAAGTAGTCTCATATCATATTAGTTAAAAAAAGTGCCACAAAATTACCTGTTGAATTTATCTTATTATTTTACTCTCAAATGAAAAAAAGAATTTTAATAATAACACATTTAAATTTTGTATTTATTATATTTTTAATGTTACATGTTAAAATTTTCAATTAATACCATTGTTTATATTCAATTTAAATAAAATAATGGGACTTTGATTTATCTGATATATAAAATATCCCATTAATTGATTAATAATAATAATAACTATATTTTTACATTTTCATTTAATTTTTTAAAGTCAATAATTTTCCATTTAATATAAAAAAATTGTGTAAAAATAATTAATTAAATACATAGAATTGTGGAATACATAGAAACTAAATACAATAGTAACTAAATATAATTATTTTTAAATACATAGAAATTAAATAAATTCATATAATTTATTAGCAAAAACACTACTATAAATTTGGAATATTTTAAAATATGTTTTGTGAATTAAATTTTAAAATAATAAAAAATTTAAATTTTAAATGTATATTGTTATATATTAAATATATAGGTATTAAATTATGCAATGAATAAGCTTCGTACATATTATAATATTATAATTATTACATGTATTATATTTAATAGCTACATTAAATATAATATTTAATAAAACTACTATATTTAATCATACATTATGTGCAATGAATATGTTATATTATGTAATAAATATTTTTCATTTGATAATATGTTATACCTGTTAAACGTATTCAATGTAATAAAGAAAACTAGAAACTGTATTTCATAAAGATAATATATTTAATAACATTATCAAATATATTTATGCATTATATGCAATGAATATATTAAATAAAGTAATCAATATTTTTCATCTAATACTACATTATATTTAATATATGTATTAAATTTAATAAATTTATTACAGTCCATAAATTTAATAATTCATTATATTTAAAAAAAAACATTGATTATATATTATATAAATACTACATTAATGACATTTTGTACAACGTTAAAATTTGTATTTAAATTTATTTTGAATTCAAGTTGGTGACATTCAAATGGATGTGAATGACACTCAATAGTTTGTGTTCAAGAGTTTTGTCTGACACATAACACATAGACTTTTTTGTTTGTAAGAAAAGTACAGTGGAAAGTGATCAATTATAAAATAAACGAAAATTATTAATTTCTTTTACTCGAGAATAAAGAAAATAACAAAGAAAAAATTGACACTTTTTAATATATATATATATATATATATATATATATATATATATATATATATATTTGTATATAAGTTAAAAAAATAAAAATAAATAAATATAAGAAAGATGTTATTTTATAAAATTATTTTCATTTGAATAAATTATTATTTATTTTTATATTTATGATTTTAATATATATATATATATATAATGTTAATTATTATTTGAATATAATATTATAAATATAAAAGTGATTATAAATATTAAATACATAATTTTATATATTATTTATAATATGATATTATTTTATTAATTTAATTTCAAATAATTTTATAATAAAAATATTTTATAATCATAAATTAAAATATATATTTATAAATAAAAATTATTTTATTAATAAAAATTAATTAATAATTACATGAATAATTTTGTAATTAAATAAATATTTAATCTTAATTTAATTAATTATTATTTTCAAAATAAATATTTATCTTACTTCTACTGTGTATTATTGTTGTACTAAAGTTTTTTGAGTGGGGAGATAACTGACTAGGATGACAATTAAACTCATACGTGTGAGGATTGATTTGTTCTCGTTCCAAATTTAAGGGAAGAAAAATCGAGTTGATCGGGGATAAGATTGAGCTCGGGTTTTTCCCACTTTAAAAAGTCGGGACGGAGACGAGGATGAGTATTATAATCCTTACTCCAGACCGTTCTTTCGTCGAATTTATTTTTAAATTTAAATTTTAAAATATTAATATTTTAAAAATATTTTCTTTATTATTTTTTTATATTTCATGATTTTTATTTTTCTTCTACCACTTTTTAATTTTTTTTTCGTTTTTAGTCTTTTATATAAATTAGTTCATTACATTATTAGTTTTCTCTTACCTTTCATTTTTTCACATTTTATTAGTCTCTTTAATCAATTTTTTTTAATCTTTTCAACCAATTTGATGAACACAAAGTTAATTTTTCTTCTTCTTTATTATTTTCTAAATATTTTACATAAATCTTAGTAGTAACTAATATTATTTTATTTATAATTTATTTTTATTAGGTTTTATTATATCATATTTTGTGGGTCCTATTATTCTTATTTATCATATATCAAATTTTATCTTAATAAAATAATTATATTTTAAAAAATTAAAAAAATTGATAATTTAAACTTTTATTACATTAAACTAATTAAATAAGAATTAATTTATTAAATATTTTTTTATAAATTATATATTTCATATTTTTAAATGACAATTTAAAAAAATTAACTTATATATAATTAAATGTTTGAATACAATATAATAATTATAATAAATAATAATAATAATAATAATATTAGAAGTATTCAAATGTTTTAATATAATATAATATAATAATAATAATAATAATAATAATAATAATAATGTTATATGTATTTTTTATTTGTATAAAGAAAAAATGATTAAATATTTCTTTTATATATATATATATATATTAATATAAATATGATAAATTAAAATGTATATTTAATTAATAATAATTACTAATTATAAAATTATAAATATTTATTTTTATATAAAAAATACATAAAAATATTAAAATTAATTTATTATAAATATAATTATTTTTGAGCGAGGACGAGACAGAGATGGAGAAACCCAAAACCCAACGAAGATGGGAATTAATACTTAATTTCTAACCCAACAGGAGGATCGGGGTGGGAATCGAGGGTGGGGATCGAGAGGTGGGTATCAAGGGTGGGGATTGGGTGCGGGACGGTTAAAGAAGTCGGGGACGGGGTCGGGGAGGCAAAACCCGCCCGCCTTGTTGCTATGCTTAGAACGGACAACTCGAGTACTTGATTCAATCTTACCATAAAATGTGACTTCGTGAAAAATTGAAACTTATAATATTTTATTTAAAAATGATTAATTTAAATAAAACTTTAAAATAAATATATTTTTACATTTATATTATATTAATAAAATTAATTTTATTTTGGATATGATTTAATATATAAATAACAAAATTTATTAAGATTGATGTTTTATTTTTATTATTTATTTTTTAATAAGTTAAAATAATAATTGATTTTATCACTACATCTCAAAAATAAGTTCATATCAAGTAGAGTTACTCTTATAATAAGTGTTCCCTTATATATATTATTTTTATTTAAAAATTTATTATTAGTTTATATTAGGGATGTTAAAATAAATTTTATTCGAATGACGAACATGAAAGACCCGAAAAATAAATCATATTAGGTTAAAAAAATTGTGACCTATATTGAATGAGGTATATTTTGGTGGATCTGTTTGGGTCATGACCTATATAGACTTAAACTAGATTAGTCTATAATCTTATGAACTGATATATTTTATAGAATGATAATTATTTTTGAAATAAAAATTAAAATAATATTATTTTATTAAAAAATATATATTATAAATTAATTTGATAAGAGATTAACTTATTCTAAGAGGTATTTAAGAATAACTTATTCCAAAATATAATAATTAAGATTAATTACTATTTTAGATCAACAAATTACTAAAATATAAATAATGATAATGAATAATAAGTTTTTAACTCTTATTGTAGGATGAATTGGTTCTTCTATCCGGGTATCTCTAATGGAAACAACTCATATGAGTTATTTTTCTTAAAAAATGTAAAATATAGATTTATTATGTCATATTATTTTTAAATAATTCATCGTTGATTTTACTCCAATATCAATTTTCTTAATAAATTTTAAAAAAACTCATTCTCTTTTATTATTTCTCCTCATTTACTTTATTTTGTATAATGAATTCATTATTTAAAAAATTTAAGCAACTTACATGCTATGTAGAATTTATTAAACAAAAAATTGTTTGAAACAATTAATATTTTATTTAAACATTTCACCAAGCAACTTCCATTGAAGATGATTTTATAATTTATATATTAAATCATTAAAT